AAACAACCATTCACCCACACACTCACACCTAAGGAGAATTTAGAGAAGCCAATTAACCTAACAGTCATGTTTTTGGACTGTGGGAGGAAGCCGGAGTACCCAGAGAAAAACCACTCATGCTCAGAGAGAGCATGCAAACTCTATGCAGAAAGACCCCAGGCTGGGATTCGAACCAGGAACCTAACATGTGTATATAGAACATTTATAAAATATATATTTTCACGGAAAAATCTAAGTTAATGTTGATACCAAAACAGTCACTTGCCCTAATAAGGTAGAAAAACAATTCAAAGAGTGTTTCTATAAGAAACACTTGCATCCAAAAAGATACTTTTTTTTTTGTTGCAACATAACTGAAAACATGAATGATGGTACAAGAACTTAATTTTAAATTTTTTACCAGGGCTTTTTAACTAATTTAATTAGCTTTTTAACTTGTTAACATATTTTATATTATTTACTTTTTAAAAACTTTATTTACAGAAGGTGATAAATCACACATAGAAGGCAACAAAAGATTACTTTTGTTATTCTATGAAGCAGTTACACTGTTCTGTAAGAAACAGGTAGAGCTTGCAGACCACAGCTGACCTCACAATTTTACATTCTTTGCGGTAAAGTGGTGTTTATATATATTACCAAAAATTGTAACCTGGACAATAAAGGGTTAATGAAACAACCCTTGATAAAGTCCATTGCAAAAAACTGTCTTTTAAATCGTCATGGAGCACTGCCTTTGAATCCATCATCTAAAATGGAGAAAGGATTGCATCAATCTGCTAGAGATTGATTGGCTGATGCTGACTATTAGTCAAGCTCATCCCCAATGTGTTGCTGATCTTTTTCTTCCTGTTTTTAACAATAAAGTAAGATTTGATAACAAATCGAACAATACCATTGAAAACAAGGCTTGGCGTCCACCATGCAATGATAAAATGATAGACATATGCACATATTTTTTTATGTTAATGCAAGGGAGCGGGGAGGTAACGATAAAATTCAGTTTCCTATGTACATGTTCAACATTATTGAAACTTGCTCAGTGCCTTTTGCCAATTACTCACTACATCATTCACTAATGCATCGTACCTGAGACTTTTGCCAAAAAGCAGAAAGCAGCATTTTTTGAGACGAGTACTTCAACAATTTAATGCCATTGAAACAATTTTCATGAAAAACTCTTTTTCCGTGTGCCAAGCTGTTTGAATGGGTACTAGAACAGTTTTAACTTTGTAGGACTAGTAGTCTGTTACCCTAATTCAAAAGAGATTATGAGTTCCTTTGGCTTGGTGTCTGCTATGCTGCCCTCTCTATGTCCCATCTTCTTCTCTTTCACTGCTCTGCTCTATCTCATCTCCCTGTTCTTCTCTTCCTTGTATGGTGAAATTAAGCTAGTAGTGATGGAGCCTAGGCAGAAGTTCAATTGAAAAAACTGATTATTTACCCTTTCCCGCCTACAACACAAGCCAATCAGCTTTGAACCACACCTTCACGAAAGACAATCAGCATCCAGAGTATCTTAAAAGGGTCTCTAAATCCACATCTCAGTTTGCTACCCAAAGCGCAGGCAGTGGTTGCGCTATGTCTGACTCTGATTCAGATGACCTCGATTCAACCCCACTCCACCATCAGAGTGTCATTCCTCCCAGACTCTTACTGTGTTCCCTGTCTCATCTCAACCGGTCCGGTAAAAGACTGCCATGTTGAGCCTGGTTCTGCTAGAGGTTTCTTCCCTAAGGGTAGTTTTTCCTCTCCACTGTTGCTTCATGCTTGCTCATCATGGACAGGTTAATACAACCTGTGTTATCCATGCTGGACTTCCAGGTCCCCTAGTGAAGCACTAGTATCAGCTCACGCAGTCCTCTGGATCTCTCCATACAACAGTTATGGACTGACCAACTTCATCCATCTCCACTCAAACACCAATTTAAGGCCTGGAGGGAAACACCCCTGTTTTTTAACTCCTGAATAAAAATTCTGCACTTATGTTTCCTGCTGAGGTCTGAGCGACAAACACTAAATTAATAGTGTCAATAAATTTTTTTATAATTGTCTTTTATTTCTGTGTTACTCTTTCAGATTGAAAAGCATATAGATAATTAGGAACATGCATGTTTTGTCATGTTTAGACAAAAGTCCATTCTATTAAGAGTATGGATGCTTCTGGAAAGCATTTAACATGGAGTCATCACATAACTTCCTTGATATATTTAATTTCTTTCTTCTGAATGGAAGGTTTATATTCATCAGCTTAACAGCTGCTGCTTGTCCTGCCACTATTTTATTTGTTTCCTTATCCGGTTTTTCCTGACCTTGCATTTTACACACACCTTGCTCCTCTCCTTCCCTTTGCACATCTCTCCCGCTTTGGACCGGCAATCATAAAATGGATTGTATATAACAAGATTAATATATATAGTTGCACTTGAAAGTTGACATACACCCTCTTTAAAGAAAAGACTAAATTCATAGCAGTAATTCAACTAAGAAAGTCCATTGATTATCAGTCATTTTTAACCATTTTTATACCTTAACCCTAAAACTAACCCTAAACCTAACCATTACCAATACATACCTCACCCTAACCATTTGACACCTTAGCTCTAAACCTAACCGTTAGCAAAATAGCATGTGAGGACCCGCAGAATGTCAATTTACAACAACTGGTCCTCAATTTGACGGTGTAATTGGAAAAATAGTCCTCACACTGAGGGCTAGACAGGTACACACACACATGTCTGGTTTCATTATTCTGATGGGGTCTTACCATTTACCTTCATTCATATGTGGATGAGTTATAAAGCCTAACTTTAACCTTTACCCTAACAGGTACATACCTAAGCCTACACCTAACCAAAACTCAATTCACACCACCCTGATGAAAATCCCCATAAGGATGGCTGGTCCCCACAATGTGGTGGTTTAACAGAAAATTGTCCCCACCTTGTAGAAAAACAAGCACACACACACACCCATTCTGAAAATAAATTAATCTCCCCACCTCCCCACCAGTATGTCAGATTTATTAAGAGATTTGCATATTTATTTATCATGTTCTACTCTTATGTCAATTGTTTTTTTGTTTTACAAAAGCCAGTCTAATGTCCATGGTAATGCTATCTGTACACATCAGCACACACAGCAGGGTTTATAATTTTAATGGGCATCCAGTTAGCTTGTCATTATTAGCACCTTGGCTTTTATAATAATAATAATAATAATAATAATATAATAATTTAACTTTATTGATTTCACAATGGAGAAATTTTCCCCTGCATTTAACCCATCCCCTTGGGGAGCAATGGGCTGCCACCGTGGGGCGCCTGCGGAGCGGTGTGGGGTCTTGCTCAGAGACCCAGAGTGGCAGTCTGTGGCGAGTGGGGCTCAAACTCACAACCTCAGGAATCCAAGCACTATACCCTAACGACTTGGCTGCCATTCTCCCATAAACACATGCATATGACAGTGCCTAGCTTCTTTATATTCCAGTTTAAACAGGGTAGTGGCACCTAACACATGTACTGTTAGCTAATTCCTGCCGATGCATAAAGAGTACCCCTAAGTTCAAGTGCAACAAACATGAGGTTTGGTAATCATGATAATGCATTGTTATAAGTTATAAGTTAAGCACCGTGCAGCATTTTCTGGTTAAAGCAAAATACGATAGTGGGTCAACCACTCATAAAGCAGAGCATAGTTCTGCAGAGAGCGATCAGAATGCATCCCTGCCAGAGTTGGGAAAGATAGGATGATGGATATTATTTAAAGTTTTTGTTTTGTTTGATTTATTTCATTAGAAAAAAATGCATACACTAGGCTATAAAACCCCCCAAAACAACTCAGTTTTTAAGGGTCCCTTGATTCAACTTAGAGGTGTTTCAACGCCCCCGAAAAGGAGGTCATCTATAATCAGTAGGCAGATTCCTTGCTTTTGTTTAATTAGCCGCTACTTGCATTTGAAATCAATATATCTACATCCACAAAGGTCTGAAAATTATGCGCTTTCAATGCTCTAAAATTTTAATTCATATTCCAGAGCACCAGCTGGTGAACTTATTGTTTCACAGATAATATTCAGTGTTTTTTTTTTACCGGTATTAAAAAAAATGAGGTAGGAACATTAAAGGTCTGCTGTGACCTTTATAACTTGTGATGAGGTGTTTATCTTAAAGAGAGAGAAAAATTTGTAACAGACAAAATTTTGTGTTGACAAGTCAGTTATTTTTTGGTTGTTTTTTTTTTAAATATTGGTGATGGGGCTTATAAAACTGCAATCTGTGCAACCCTACTGCCTGCCTAAACAAACAGACCAGGCAGTCAGGTCAGGTAAATTATTACTGCAGATATTGACTGCACAGATTAGAGTCTATATTAGTTGTGGTTTCCGGAAAGCTTTGCCTTTTTTGGAAGAGAAGTGTCAAGAGAAATAACAATTAAATGAGGATGCAAGAATTCTTTTCAGTTTGTCCCAAATATGTGGCAAAAGGTAGTGAGTTCAAATCAAATTTGCGCTGTGGTTCATGCACAGCAATATGTTTGGCAGAAAAACGAACACCTGCCCAAGCAAACCGTCCACACACTGAAACATCATGCTGTATTTTTTTTAGCAGTGAAAGAGAAGCTGCTTAAAGCTGATAGGAGCATTGGTTTATATCAAAACAAGATTTAAATACTCTACTTTCATTCTTAATATATGTGTAAGCCAGATTCTCCTAAGTTATATAAAAAAGGAATTTTCTCGTACTTCAGTCTCACACCATGTTATTCTGCTCCATTACATTTTAAATTTTTACAGAATGACACATTGCAAAGTGTTTGCATCTCCAGTGGGATGTAGTTGCATCTAAAGTTCCTGTGCACAGGGGATGTCTGTATCTTTTTTCCTCTGTGATTTGATAGACTTGCTTTTGAATTATATTTATTTTTACCTCCACAGATGCAGGGAGATGTGTTATATTGTTGTGAGCAGTATAATTTAGTTTTCTCTTTATCTCTTGTAGAACTTGACTTCAGCCACCTGAGCCGGGGTGCTGTGCCTCCTCTTTTCACTCCCATGATCAACACTTCGCCCATTTTTATCTACTGCTGATTTGGAAGAAAAATGCTCCTACCTCCAAACCTCAAGACCACAGATGGCTGCAAGGTCAGACAGAAGGAAAATATGGAAACTTTTCAGTATCGTCTTACATGTCCTTCGGTCATAAATGAGCTCTTATCTGTTTTCATCAGGTAAGGGTGTGGCTTGGAGAGTGAGTTGTGTCCCCAGAAGTTACTTTGGATGGAGGTCAAAGGACATCTGATAACATCAATGGGTTTGGGGACTCCTGGTGAGTAGTAATGCCATCACGCTGTCTAAAACAAAACAAAGAACAATATACCATCATGTCTGGACAAGCTTGAAATGGCCTGAGAAATGCAGCGGCTTGTGCTTTTTTTTTCTGACAAATTTCTCATGGGAACAGTCAGCTGAAAACACATCTGCTTTCTGATGACGCCTTTTGTTCACACAGTGGCGCAGCTGCCTGATGCTTTTATCAGAAAATTAGAAAACTGAGAACAAAACAGTGAGAAATGACTAAAAGAAAGAGATTTGATGGGAACAAGACTGGTATTTCGTTTCTAATTTTAGCTGCTCTGCATGTAAATTTGAGTCTAATGCCCTAAATGTTAAGCTCCTGTTTTGTGTTATAGAAAGATGATTAACATGTGTTGCGGTCTGCAGATGTTCAAGGCTGCCAGGATGGCAAGCTCCAGGCCGAGAGGATTGCAGCTCTGCAGGAGAGAAAGCAGGCCCTAGAGGCTCTCCTTAATGCCAGAGTGGGGGAGCTTAAACAAGTGTGTTTGCAGGAAGCGGTAAGTAACTTTCATTTCAATTTTCAGACATTCAAAATGTAGGTCAGAATGCAAAAAAATAAAGTCTACTCCATTTACATTTATGTGAAAAAATAGACACCTATCACAGCCTGGGAGTCTCGCTAATTAACTTAGATAAAGACATTTATAATCAGTTTTACCAAGATGCTTAAAAATGAAATGTATTAATATATTACCAACAATTAAAACTGGATTAAAAGTATTTTACTGAAAAAATAAGTTAATAAACCTCCAGTTTACCACCACTTATAATTACTGACATTCATATTGGCATTTAAGCTCAGATGCACAGGATTAAAATTGTCCTGTGTTTACAATATTAGTGTTGACCCGATACCATGTGTATTTACTCTTACTTATATCCATAAACGGCTTCTAATACTAAAGCATCAGATACTCCAACACCCAGTATTGGTCTGCACTAAAATACTCCAACCAGGTAAGTGGCAGTAATACACCACAAATTGAAGTCCAGCCACAAGAGGCAGGTTCAAAAGACTCGGCAAGCGCCTCGTGTTAAAATCGCCTCAGCTCTGATCGGCATGCAGTGGAAACACTAGACAAAAGCCCAGCTAAATTACATGATGACTTTGAGCGCAACATACATACATATGTCCCAACATTGCACCGGCCGTGTGTTGAATTACAAGCCCAAGCAATTCTGCTTGTATTCGTTTGTATATCTGGCAAGATAGAGAGATTTGTGCGCTCCTTATAATCCGCAGAGGAGATTAATTAACATTTAGTATTTTGAGGGCGGACATCAGAACAAATTAATAAAGAATACTGACTATCCCCATCCATGTTGCTCTCCATTATTTACTTTACAGATTTCCATAACACTGTTGACATCAGCAACGCTCACCCAGCGTGATGCTGTCATCAGACACGCAGTGGTGGGGGACTGTGGCCATGCAGTTTACCAGCAGGGGGTTACACCCGGCCGGCTATACTGTCAATTGAGAAAAGAGCCAAAAGCGGATTGTTAGCTGGTTAACTCGGTTTAGAAAACCCAGGTTTCAGCATGAAAGGGGCTTTAGTGAATCTATATGTAAATAAATCATTTCTGCTGACGTTTAAAAGCCTCCAACTCCTGAGATTATGGCTTTATTATGATTTTTTTTCTGAGTGTATTTGGAATGACAGATAGGTGTTCTTTGGGTGTCTGTCTTTGGCCCCAGTTACTTAAAAAACTCCACCTGTTCAACCTGCTATCCATGTATAGTGATACGTCAAAAAGCTGCAATGTAGTTGCCTGCTTTTCTTAGTTCTTGCAGCATAGCTTTTTCCTTTACAACACTGAGTTCAAATAATTTCCCTTCATCAATTGTGATCAGGTCATCCACAGCCAAAGACTAAGAGGATTGGTGAGGCATAGGAATGGTCAAAGTGTAAGGAAAGATGAAAGTGTTTAAGTGATGTCTACGGTATATCTTACCACTTGCACTTGTTTAGTGTTCTGCACTGAGTTAATGCAGGTACACATTCTTGTGTACCTGCATAAACTCAGGGGAATATGTGTGTGTATGAGTATCAGTGAAACGGGGCGTCAGTTTGTTTACATGTTTAATTGTTTACATGTAGAAATGTTTGTTTGGGTATGTTTGAAAAGAGTTGCAGAAAGCAAGGAAGATTGTTTTTTTTTATTATTATTTTGACAAACACTTAAAAAAAAATAAAAAAATAAAACAAAAAAAGGCAAAACAGTTTAGGATAAAAGTTGCCGCCTCTTTCCAGCTTTAAACTTCCCTCTATACTCCCTTCCCAAGAAAGGAAAACATCAATAGGATAATACTGCTACATACAAGGTATTGAGGGATTTCACCAGCTTGCTGCACACATTTGACCCTGATGAGGCTTTTCCATGCAGGTTTGGTCTCCCACAAACCACAGGGAAGGTAAAGCTTTATATCCCATGAGCAGCCGCATCAACTAGGCCAGTCTTTACTGATCACATCAACAACAGCTTCAAGCTCAGAAGGGAAGATAACAAGCTGTCTTTTCTGGACTGTCTGGTGCACATAGAGAGAGATGGAAGCTAAAACACAGGAGTCTATCGAAACCCCACACAAAGACCAGTATTATTGTTTTGAATCTCATCAACCGGAACACAAGCTGTCAGTTCTATGACCAGACGTGGAGTGCCTCAAGCCAAACTGGTCTCCACAAGGACATAAGCGAAGGACAATAAACACAAATGCATCCAGAGAGAACTTCAACCTATGGATAACATAACTGGGGCTTATTTATGATTCCAGTTTTTTTAAAGACTTGTGAACTGAAGGGGTAAAGAAGGGGATGAACATCATCCTTATCAGCGGGGAGTGGTGGCCTAGTTGTTAGGGCATTATGCTTGGATCCCAGAGGTTCTGAGTTTAAGCCCCACTGCCATGGACTGCCACTGTGGGTCCTTCACCCAGACCCTTAACCCCCACACTGCTCCCCGGGCACCCCACAATGGCAGCCCACTGCTCCTCAAAGGGATGTGTTAAATGCAAAGAGTGAATTTCGTTGCTTTGTACTTGTGACAATGTAACAATAAAGCTGAATTCTATTCTATCTTTCCATATATAGCCGAAGGATCAAAGGAACTAAGAAGGATATTTTCAAAGTCACTGTTCTGGTGAATTTAAAACCTAGAAACACCCTAAGGCAGATAGTGGTCCACGCCTTGGATAAAACATCCACACACAAGCTCAGAGGTCTGGTGCAGTGAGGGAGGATCAGGGCTCAACAAGGATGGTCAAGCACAGACGAGCAAACCTATCAGTTCAAGAATAAGCAGTATTTTAAGATCTAAAGATGAAAATGAAGACAGCAATATACATATTTTGGACAAGAACGTTGTTTGAGAGGAATAAAATAAGCATTCTGTGCTAAAGAGAAAAGCACTGAACAGAGGAGTACCATCAGATTGTCTCTTTCTTACAGTGCTCTTTTACAACAAAATGTTTGCAAACCTTTTTTCTGTTTAAAAGTGTGGTTTCTGGAGTTAAACACTTGTTTAAACCCATTGTGGAGCCTAAAATGGCCCAGAGAAGCATACCTTGGCACAGTCACAAGTTTGTCCCAGTTTATTCAGACTGTGATTTGGTTGCAGTGTCAATGCATGCCGGGCCACTGAATCAGTAGTAGGAAGAGAGGATGTATCCTTCACCAGTTTTCCTTGTGTATGGCTCTGCTTCACACAGCTGAGAAATGCACAGCAATATACCGTATTTTCACGACCATAAGGCGCACCGGACTAAAAGGCGCACTCTCAGTTATGTGTCCCATTTCTGTATTTAACACACACATAAGGCGCACCGGACTATAGGGCGCGTTTTTTATATACAGGTACATGTCCTCTACTACCTTTAAATACCTCTACTGCGTATTTAAAAATACAGCGGGTGCAAAACTGAGTATGATTGTGCTTTTCATGTATTTATTACAAACTATTAATCAAACCTGGCAGCTGGCCGTGAGACAGACACATCGCAGATGACACAGCGCTGTGGTCACTCCTAAATTAACTTAAAATCCTGAAACCTGCCGACAGAATATGTTCGCTTTTATTGCCGGTATCCTGGTGCCTGCAGTTAAAATTATTTAGATGAAAAACACCTGCCAGCCACCGCGGTGAACCCCAGGCGACCCGGCCTAGAGGCTGCTGATGAAAGGATTTCTCCTGTCGGTGCACCGCTGGTATGTGGGGGTCTGAGCGCCTCCGACAGAAATAGATAATCTGGATGAACTGACTGCAATTATGAAGTTTTCAGGTGGACTTTCTCACTTAAAAACATATTAAAACTACTTTATTCCCACTGATCACAGCAAATATAGCTGCAAGATTTAGATTATTTAGATGAAAAAACACCTGCCAGCCGCCGCGCTGAAGAGGAGGAGACGCGCCCAGAGGCTGCTGTTGAATTAAGTTTTCAGGTAGAAAAATAGAGCGGGAGCAAAACTGAGTATGATTGTGCTTTATTCATGTATTTATTACAAAGTATTAATCAAACCCATCAAAGTCATCATCCTCTGTTTCTGAATAAAACAGCTGCGCTAAATCAGACATGCCAGTTTCCCCTTCTGCGCTGTCAGAGTCACTTTCCGTGCAGCGCGGCTCCTCAGAAATAATGCCGGCTTTTGCGAAAGCCTGAACAACAGAGCCAGCAGAAACGTTAGTCCATCTACAATCCATCCGCAAACTGTGGCGTCACTTGCCCGGCGCTGCCTTCCACTTATCCTGAAACTGTGGTCTCTGTCGGCCATCCATCGCTCCCACGCCGCTCGCAGCCTTACTTCTAACGGCCGCTTCACACCGATGTCGAGCGGTTGAAGTTCCTTTGTCAGACCCCCGGGATAACGGCGAGCACAGCGTTCATTTGATTCACCTTTTTTTCACATCGGCTGTGAGATGGGCACGCAGCGATGGTGATGCGTGGAAAAAACCACCTAGTCTTCTCAGATACACCTGCCTCAGCCACGCATCCATCCAGCCTTTTCCATTTGCGTTAATATCATATGTCATCAGAGCGATGTGTCTGTCTCGCTGTCAGCTCCCAGATCAGCTTCTACTGATTGGTTGATGCGGCGCGTCCAGCAGCAAAACTTAAATTTTTCCATCTCGAGCAGCAGCAGCGCGTTGGCGGTGCGTCAGATGCTTAAACGCTCCCGACGTGCTGCACCAAAACGCGCTGCGGGACCTTTTGCTGCGCCTATACGCGCGTCAACCATTGACTTTGCATGTAAACTCGCCGCTTCTGCTGCACCTGCTGGGTCCGGTTCACACCGATGTCGAGCGGTTGAACAGCGAGCACAGGGTTGATTTGTTTCCCCATGTTTTTCACATCAGCTGTGAGATGGGCACGCATGGAGTTACATATTAACAGCGATGGTGAGGGGTGGAAAAAAAACACCTGGTCTCCTTACATTCAGCCACTCTTTCATCATCTCCTCAATGAGGTGGTCTCAAAAGTCGCAGTTACAACACACATAAGGCGCACCGCACCATAGGGCGCACCGCACATTTTGAGGAAAAAAAAAGACGTTTAAGTGCGCCTTATAGTCGTGAAAATACGGTAAGCAATGAGAGCATTTCCAGAGTATGTCTGTTAAAAAACACAACAAAAAACCAACTGGGCCAAATGAATTTTTTTTGGTTAGCAATTCACACCTTTGGACCAAAATGGCTCACACAACATTGTTTGGATAAGTTTGACCCGTTAAGCACAAATTACAACAAAAAGCTGAGTAGACTTTAGGGCCAGTGACTTAATTGCCACAGCAGTGTCAATAATAGGCCTGTGGGTGTGATTAGTCTGACTACAGCCTTTTACTTCCAGACTTGTTTGGTACTAAAGAAGCCCTTTTGGTTTTCCCTGAGGGAAATGCCACACATCTTACATGAGGTCTCTAAGCTGTAGGAATCAGTTTGGTTCTGCAGCACCAGATGCATGATCTGAGGGCACACAAGGCCTTTGACCTCTGTACCTTGAAAAGAGGAAGTGGTCTTCAATAGAGGATCATTTATTCTGTTTATTGCAGAGCTATAATGTGAATAGGACTATGGTTCACTCACCATCCAAGCATTGGATTGTGGGGCACGCCTAAAGACGTTCTATAACTCTGTTGTGGCATCAGCCATTTTTAACATATGTCTACATATATAAGATAAAATAAGCTATTAACTTATATAATAATATGTAGCATATTGGACCTTTCAGACATGTAAAAAGGCAAAACTAAATGTCTTCTATAGGAGCTGACTGGGAAGCTGCCACATGCTTTCCCTCTGGAGGCTGGAGAGAAACCCCCAATGGTGCAGCGCAGAGCTGGCCTGGTGCCGAGCACCAAGTTAGAGGTAAGTCATCCCCTCGAATATCAATAGTGTTTACGCATCAGCAGGAGAACAGCTGTGCTTGTGGTGTAACATAAACGGCTGTATTCTGTTTTCAGGATGACTCTGGCCAAAGAAAGCAGATGAAGGCAATCTTCACCGGCGCTCTATGCAGACACTCCGAAACAGACAGAAATGGCCTGAATAGCAAGAGGACAGTCCATAGGGGATGTCATACAGGTGCTCCTCCTGATTTCTGTTAAAAATAAATAAGTACCCTGCATATCCTTGAATCTTTTCACATTCTGTCATGTTAAAACAACTTTATTATTGGGATTTAATTTGATCAATACATAATAGTGTATTATTATGAAGTAGAAAGATGCATTATATTCTAAGCTTTTTTACTAATAAATCTGAATCTGTAGCCTTTCTATATACTGTATGTATTAAGCGCTATGGAGTCTATATAACTGTAAGTAGAACCACTTAAGCAGCAGTTACAGCCAAAAGTCTTTGAGATATTTTAAAACTGTGCTACATATGTAGAGAATAATATTTTTGTGAATTATTTTTGCAAAGTAGCTCAAGTTGAATCAGATTGGCTATAGGGAGTCTATTAACTTCAAGTTCCAGGTCTTGCTATAAATCCTCTATTAAATTTTCTGTGTGGCCTTTGAATGAACCATTCAAGCACAGCAAAATCTATGCTCAATATCTGATCCCAGACTCAATTTCAATAACTGTGTGCAATGTTGTAATGGATGCAGTATTTGGCAGGATATAATATTTTAAGTCATGCATTCCTACTTTTTAATATCTAGAACATATTTGGACTCACAACCCAACATTTATATGTGTAAAGCTGCTGCTACCCTGCAATATCTCAGCTTGGGATAAATAAAGTATATCTATCTATCTATCTATCTATCTATCTATCTATCTATCTATCTATCTATCTATCTATCTATCTATCTATCTATCTATCTATCTATCTATCTATCCATCTATCCATCTATCCATCTATCCATCTATCCATCTATCCATCTATCCATCTATCCATCTATCCATCTATCCATCTATCCATCTATCTATCTATCTATCTATCCATCCATCCATCCATCCATCCATGTTTTCCCAATAAAACACTGAAGATGAGATTTGTATGAAGCACATGCTAATAATCAATTCTCTCTAAATCAATCATTTATGTCTCTGCATAAATTGCACAGTAAATGGATCCAACAGTTGTTCTTTAACTCCATAGAAGATTCCTAAAACAATGCAGACAAAAACTTTCCTTCTCCTTCATAGTTGAAAATAACGAGTTCTGAAAAGTGTTAATTCTGTATTTTTTCATTTTTAATGTTAGTACATTGGTGTGAATATAATTGCTAATTGCTGGATTTTTGTTGTCAGTGTATAGTTAATATTTTTGTTAAAATATCAAATTAGTTGGAACGGTTCACTTGAGAGAATCGCTGCTGTCACCTTCTGGTTTAAAGGGGAATTGCTTGTACCTCCACATAGTCACTACAATTCACTGGTTGATGGCCATAAGAAGCATGTCTGCACCCTTCATTCATTATGGATAAAAGATTGAATTTGGAACATTTTAGATATTTCTCCCCAGCCTCCTCTCTAACCTGCTTGCTGTGTCCTTCGTTCTTTATGAGGCAGTTTTTCCTCTAATGTCACTAGAAAACCGCTAAGGCCTTCACTAAAAACCAATGAGTTTGAAATGCACACAGTTTCCCTTCCACTTCTCAGTTATACATTTGCTTTGGTCCATCACATAAATCATAGTAGTTGTTGAGTTTGTGGTTAAGTGGGAGGAAATTTATGGTAAGGAATTGTTTTGCAAGCTCTGTAGGAGGAGAAATAAATGCAAACCAGATGTTAGATTCTGCTAGAAAACCATTAATTTTGTTGCGCGTCTGGTAAACAACACCAATTAAAGGAAATCTGTCCTGATTTTTTTCTTTTAGAGGACACTGTGATGTCAGAAAGTACCAGCTCTATGTCAGATTCAACTTCACATGACAACGGTAAGTCCACGCTACATAAATGTTACTCTGCTTTATTGTATCAGAAATGTTTGGCAGTCATTGGTATGTATGCTGCAGTTCGTCATCATTTTTAGTTTTCGTTCTTCTCCACAGATTCTTCTCCCAGCGTAGCTGCTGATCAACGGGTGTCGTCTCAGGCTCGGCTCACTGTGGGCAGCCCTGACCACAGAATCAACAGGAAGCTGTCTCCTGTTGAGATTTACTATGAAATGAGAACACGTCGCAATTCAGTCACAAGCTCCATCAGGTAGTTATGTAACGTTGTCTTACCCTTGTCCTGCCTCCAGCCTGGCCAGTCTGTCACCCATCTGTGTTGCACATTTAGATGTACAACAGATTCTCTATAATAAGGCTTATAGAAACCTTGTGTTGACTCTTTCAGTCCAACTCACTCTTTACCTAGAAGTGCTTCTAATGTTGAAGGTAGAAGTGTTCCAGCAACGCCCCTGTTGGCTCGAACTGCTCCAATCAGCGTTCATGTCAGGTATTCTATGACTCTTACAGCTTTTATCAGAGAGATTTATTTATTCAATCAGACTGTTACATGAAGAGCACTGGTTATACAGATGGTTGTAATGCAAAGGCAGCTTTGCAAAGTTTAAAAACGCATGAAAAGACTTGGAAGGAATACATCAGAAATGGTTGAATCGACTCAATTGCATTAAAATATAACAATTCTAAAGAACAAGGAAATGGAGAAAAAAAAATACAAATGATAAAGTATATAAAGAAACAAAAATTGTTAAACATAAAATAAAATATGCATTTTTTCTGATTGGGTGTCCCTTAAAGCATAAGAATGAGTATTTTAGAACTTAAGTTTTTATCTTGAAATGAAACCAAAAGTCAAAAAAATTTGTACACCATCACCATTTAACAAAGTATTGGCATATTTTCTCTGGAACTTCAGTTCAGCTTTTGCCCTGAGCATCAAGTTTTGATGGTTGGTAGACTTCTTTCATCATCCTAATCTTTTATGTTCTGCTCTACAGATCTTATTCAAGTTGGGACTCTGGCTGGGCTTCTCCTGCATGTTAAAATTATTACTTCCACAAAGAATAAACACATTGGTCTAATTGAAAGATTAAATCCAAATCCCTTAAGGGTAGGAATATTTATAGCCTAGTTATAAATCTTAGATCGAAATAGATATTAATAAAAAATGTTGTAAAGCAATAGGAAATATGACAAAAACCCAAATAATACCAAGTATAATATTATCGGATATATGTTCAGTTTAGAGCCAGGCTATCACTCAAATGTTCATAAAAAAATAAAAATAAAAAAAACACTGGTCTTCAGGCTGGTCTTCAGGCAGTTTTCCATAATTTAGGACTTTAATGAGAAAACTGCGCCTAAAACATGAATTCTACTTGAGTTACCAATATAAAACCTTTTCGAGAAGTTCTCTAGATGACCTGTAAAATAAGATGAAACATTTTAAAATTTGGCCCAATGCCCTCAGCAAAAAACAAAGTGTTAAAATAATCAGTCAGCCAGTTTCTAGACATGGTCAGGATTTTTTCGGCTAGATTTTAAAGTAACTGCAATGGAGCCTGTTTTATGAGACCTGCAACATGGTACAATTACTATATCTATAAATTCTAAAAAACAAACAAACATGTACCAATGTCTCTGTTGGACTGAGAGACAAAGAAGGAAACTTTGGTTGAATGTTCTTCAGATGATAAACTGCATTCTTCTCAACATGTTAAAGATGGTTGATAAAAGTCAGAAATTCCAACTTAATTAACAAAAATCTGATATCTAGGTTTGTTTTTTTGTGTGTTTTCTATCTGAAGGGTTAACTGCCAGTGTTTTAATTTTATGATGTGAGTTTCTCTCTCTGAGGACCTGTGCAAAAAACAAGTATTTCAGTTTGCTGATGAAGGTTCTCAGTCATCCAGGTCAAAGTCATTCCGTAAAAATTCAAAAAATATCCACTGGACTTGGTTTTCAAGATTTCAAGATTCAAATCTTGAAAACCAAGTCCAGTGGATATTTTTTGAATTTTTACGGAAAGTATTTCAGTTTCATTTGAACGAATCAAAAAACACTGTTTCTTACACTCATAACTTTATATTTAAAGCCAAGTTAAAGGTGTAATGTAGCTATGAGAATTTATGCCTTGTCTCCCAATGATAGCATATAACAATAGCATGTATAAATTGAAAAATGTTTGAACCTAATTGTGAGCCTTGGGATGCTCCATAAATAAAGGGATTACACTCAGAAATGATTCTGTAAATTTACCAAGACTTTTGGTCTGTGATATTCATGCAAAATAAGCAGCTCTACATAATTTTAATAGATTATATGTGGGGATAATTAGTCTGATACTCTTTTGGATGAGAAACCATACTTATCTGCCCTTGCAAAGGTCTCTAAATCAGCTGCTCTTAATGCTTTAACCATTTCGTTTATATTTGAGAGCACTATCTTATATGCAGGTAAATTAAGTTTTTATTGTTTTATGGTTATCCTTCCATGTTTTCAATAAAATTGCTAAACCTAAGATGTATCGTGATCTTTTAACAACTGACAATGTTGCCTATAAAATTGACCATTATCAGTCAAAATAGGAACTGGCAGGTCAGACTTTTTAAAGATTGGCAATTAGCTGGAAGACTGCAATCGGTGCACCCCTACTTAAACCTCTAGCTGCTATCACTGGATAGATTCACCTTCCCCATTGAAATAACCTTTTTACGTTTTTGTATTTGTGTCTCTTATAGGTCAGATGTGTCTGGTAGTAATGGGTTAAAGCAGTGGTCTGGCAGCTTGGATGCACCGTATATTATCCCACTGGCTCAGGAGGGCTCCTCTTCTGATCGCCAAAGCTGCCCCTACAGCTCCAGAGCAAGGCGCAGTAACAGTTCTGAGGCTCTCCTGGATAGATCTAGCCTACCAGATGATCCTGGACCCAGAAATGGTATGCCCCATAGAGGAGGACCATACAAGAGCTCAGAGACCCTGACTGATGGCAAATTGCGACAAATTCAGCTAGATAGCTCAGAGTGTCCAGGTGACAGCCCCATGGAGCAGGGTAAAATGCGTCTGTCAGTGGGTGGCAGAGGGGCGAGCGGAGGCTACAATGAACTACTGATGGACTATATCTGGGGTAAACAGCAGAGGATGCAGGTGCAACACCAGCTGTACCAGTCCACTGGCAGAATATGGCAGGACATGTCCTCTCCTCGGTCGTCCACTGCGGCTGTGCCTCCACATGCAAATGGATTTTCCCATTCCCAGGTTAACCTTCCCAGTGCCGCAAGTCCTTACAGCCCTATGGTCCTCAGAGGATCCCAGGCGGAGCTCCGTAGGGTCAAAGTTACCAGGACCAAATCTTGTGGGCCTTTTATTCCTTTACAGCAACATTCCCCAGATGGCATTTTGCTATCAGCATATGAGTCCCCTCTTCCCACCACTGGCACCAACACATCCTCCATTTCCAATCTTCTCCCATATCAGACTGAGCTGTCTGGGCCCTCCTTTGGCCGTAGGCCGCCGCAGTTTTCTCTTCCTACTCCAGAAGATTCAACAAGAAGCCTACATAAAGCTCTTGCCCTGGAGGGACTTAGGGACTGGTACTTAAGGAATGCCTTTGGCTACCCTCCTACTGCCTCAAAGGGCCATGAAGCAGGCATCTCTCGGCTCTCGCACCCCCATCCTCTGGTGCACCAGGCCCAGTCGCTTCAAGGGGAACCAGCCAACCTCCAAAGGCCTCAAATACCCCAGTCAGCAAGTTTCCATGGTCACCCCCTTCATGGACGGTCAGTACACAAGTATTTCCATTTGATTGCATTGTTCTTGGTCATTTTAACATATTTATAGAAAGTACAGCACAATGTTTTCATAAACATCCCGTTTCTGAGAAATTGTTCTCACTTGACCTAGCTTTATTTAGGCTCAACTGATAACAGAAAGCAGAAATGTTCGTTCATTTTAGGGATGTCCCGATACAACACTGATTTTGGTCCAATTTCATCTAAAGAAAAAAAAATATTGGAATATATCGACCAGCATCTAAAATCGCTGTTTTAAGCACCCTGAGATTCAAGCATTCAGCTTGATCATTCAGTCTGCTCCTGCATTTTTATACAGCAGTGGTTGTTTTCCAATGTCTAACAGAGTAGTAGATGTTGTGCCACTGGGATAGGTGCTGTGTTGGCAGCATCTTTTGATTTAAGTCAAGATGTTGCAGCTGAGTGTATAACTTGTTTGCTGTCTTGTAATTTATTTATTCAGTTATAAATAGATTTTTATACTTAAGTTTAAAGTTTGTCAACCAATTACTCAAATAGATAACAGTTTTCAAAAACAGTCGTTATGAAAAATATCTCTTGATCAGGTCTTTTCAAACATTCTGTTTTTTCAAAGTCTAAACTTTATCACATGTTTTGGTGTGACTGGAGTCCCAAACTGTTAGGATAACTAAGTTAAAAGCTTCTCATCAATGACTTTTGTTTTTGCTAAATTTATTCAATTTAATTCAAAAACAATTTTATGGATTCTAAATGAAAACAACATGTTGATATATCTCATATGGTTTTCTTTAACAAGTGGTTATAGATGCTGTTGGAACAATCTCCTGTAGTGGTATGTCTTACAGCGGGTCTGGAGAAGCCTCTGACTGAATTCACTCTGTTGTACGACAAGACGATGCTCAGGGTTGTCCTTTATTTTCTTCATTTTATGAAAGTTTCTTTTTTATAAAATGATGTCCAGAGCTTCCAAAGTAGTTCCCTGAACAGGGCCCACCTTCTTTATTATATTGTTAAGCTTCTCTAAGTCCTTTGCTCTGATGCAGCTGTTACTGCAACAGATGATGGCTAAAGAAGTCAAACTCTGCACACACTTAAATAAAATGTGCAGCATCTTGCTGCAAAAATGAAAGGACTAATGAGGTGGGGTTAGCAAGGATTTTTGTTTGTAGAGATGGTTGTTGTTTTCTTCTAAGGAATAGAGAACATTATTTTCTGAATCTTTTCCTATGACTTTCTTTTTTTGTCATTCATATTAGTTTAGCTGTTTCTCAGCAGAAGTTTTTCCCATTACTCTTACTCTGCCCCTCATACTGTTTCAAACAACTACAGTAAGACCATTTATTGTGGGAGCATTTTTAATGAGCACAAACTTCTCACTAAAAGTCTCCTGCCAACACACAGGCTCACAATATTGACATCATTGATGCCTTTTTCATGGCACTTCTGGTTATAAATTTTAAGATCACAGAAAGAAACTGACAAAAATAAAGGAGCATAGCACAGGCCCTAGACTTTGTGCAGACGTTTGCCTCCACTTTGGTGACAAATTGCAACCATTGCAGCATTATGCCTGCACACTTACTACCATCTAAGTTTACTTGCTGATAATTTAGCATTACACTGATCACCTCTTTGTATCACAAACGTAAGATTTCTTCTTAAAGAAATCTTACTGAGAATCCCTTTTTATCTCACTGAGAATCCCTTTTTATCCCCAGGGCAGATCTGCGCTCCTTCCATGTTGAAAATTTTTCGTTTTCTTTTTGTGTCCTGCTTGTGATAGTGTTTGAGCAGCACTTGTTGTTGGTGTTTTGTGATCTATCTTTGAAAATAGTCGCCCGTGTTCTCTAATTAAAACACTCAGTGTGAACTAACTGGCCTTTAGGAGCCTAGGATAGCCAGTTTCACCAGTCTGGTCAGTCCAATGACATGTATGGGAAAGGAAAAAATATTTAACATTTAAATGAGCACAATACTCCTTTAATGGTTAGTTGTTTATGATCATGGATTTTGCTGTTAATGTCAGCAAGATGTATCAATTTTTTTAAAAATGAAACTCTATGATCATGTTGTTTTTTGCTTTTTTTATGTACTGATTGTATCTTTTTCCCTCTTCTGCTCCCTGACAGGTCAATGGAGTTTTCTCTCTTTCAGGAGACCCCAGATCCACAAAAGCAAGAGACTACTCCAAAGGAAGCGAGTGCAGATCCGGGGACCCTGGTCTGAAGCAGAAGGATGCACTCAGCCTGAAAACCAGACCTGATGCAACGTATCAGTAGAAACGCTGTAGCCTCATCTTGACTTGATAAAGTTGAAAGTGGATACAAATTGACCTCATTAACAAAGCAAAACACAGCAACCTCATCAGACAGAAACTGAAGTGTAGCTGTACAGTTAAAAAAAAAGAAAAAAAGGAAAAACTTTGAAGAGTCTCTTGTTTTCTGTCTGATTCCAGCAGTATAACTTCTAACCCAGTGTTTCTGTATGAATGTGCACTGGTGCTGACTTGTTAAACGTCTAATAACAAATACATCTGGTCCTATTAACCCTGAAAATTCTCCTAAGATATACTTTTTTACAGAATATATACATCTCTAAATAACTATTTTGTATATTCTGATATAAAAAGCTATATTAGAGGGTAATTTATCTCTTCTCAAAGGTGATCAACAGTTATCTCATTCCATAGTAACATGACATTTCTTTTCTAATCTTGTAAAATGTAAAGATATCCGTCATTGTTCATGTACCATTAATTCCCTGGCATTTAAAAAAAAACACTTTCTGAAAGTTAAACGAGCAGTGAAATAAAGTGACATGCTGTTCAGACAGATGTGCAAAGATGTTTACAAATGCTGCCTTGCAAAAGTATTCGCCGAAGATGTACTTTTTCACTTTTTGTCACATTAAAACTAAAAATATTAGTTGTAAGATTTAATTTGGCTGACCAAACCAAAGAGGTGCAAAGGTTTGAATATGAAAGCAAAGAATGGAGATTTTTTTTTTAACTAAAAAAGGAGGTGTACATTAATATGCCTTCTTCCTTATTCTGTCCCAAGCTTGTTGCAACATGCTGCCTTTTTAATGCCAACAAATCAGTGCAAATGTGACTCATCTGTATTTAACAAACTCTCAGTAGTTCTGTAAACGCCTTAATAGTGGTGTGGGGATACATTTCTTTAGTGTAGCAGAAGATGGGCTGAGTTGAGGGGAAACGTGTGATGCATTAGAGGCATCAAAAATCCCTAACTGTTATTACTTTAACTCACAGCAGGATGGTGACTCTCATAGCGCTACAATGAGATGTTACAACAACACTTATGTGTTGAACTGGCCCAATTGCAGCTCTATGGAAAGACTTGCATCTGTTACTGTCAAACAAATCCACCACCTCCTTACTTTTATCCTGATTTGAACTGTGAAATAAAAGAAAAAGGTTATGCACTACTTTGAGATGGTCAGTCACATTAAAATCCCTGTGTGAATACCCACATTGAAGCTTGTGAAAAAGTCAGGGGTTTCAATACTTTACATGCAGTGTAAAATGATTGGAATAATAAAACTTAGTGTTCTGGTGATAAGGCAGTAGTGCCAAAATGTAGCTCACACTGGTAGAAAACCTGTGCACCAACAGTTATGTGAAAAATCTAGTGTATTTAAGGTGAACACATTGATGATGTCGACCAAGTAGTTAATAGACTGATGTCATGTTGTGATTGTCTTATATCTAGATTCAGATAAGTGCTGGAGTAAATATAAGCATTCTCTGTTTAGACCTCAACAGACTAAACCATGATGGCTGAAATGAGACGAATACATAAAACATCCAGCTGGATTTGAGTGTCATACAGAGCACTTTATAAACATCTTAAGCCTTAATTCCCAATGAAATAGTTACCAGGAGAGATGGCAGGTTGTCTTTGGGTTCTAACAGGGTTTGTTATGAGGCACCTGTCAAATCATCCGTCTGAATGATGGTACTGATGAGTTTCACACTGAGATTTTATCCCCCAACAAATCATTTAACTCTATAATATGAAACAACTCCACCGCGCCTTCCATCCCAAGTGACCATTGCCGGTTGTCTGTGTGAGCTGGGCTGCTGAAGGTGTGAGCAGGTCTCATGCCATTAAGTCTGTTTTAAGTAGAAGTAGTACTAATCTGTGTTTGTAGAAACTTTAATTCATGTACCCAGTTAATTATCATTAATTTCCTTTTACATTTTCTACTATTCATTTTGTGATCAGACTTAGTAGCATTTAGAAAAGCCACGAGGCATAAAAAATGTATCGTAACATACATTTTTTTTTTCTTCATTTAAACCATTTGACAGTTTATATACTTGAAGCATTTCCATTGTGGAACTAATTTGAATGTGATTAATTGTGTGATTCTATTTTTACACTGAGTTACAATATGTAGCACGCTGTGGGATGTCATATGTTCTGCTGTCTAATATGTTTCTGTTTCCAGCCTCACAGATCTCCTCTCAGCTCATTAAAACCTGAAATCAAAGACCAAACTGCTGTGCACTGGGGGTCAGAAAGGTATTTTTCATATTATGTACTCTGTAAATAGAAAATAAATGCTATGAACTTAGCCCTAAAGCAAATGTATTCAAGCTATATTATATTTATGAGCCTATAACATTTTGTAGCCATCTACTGTAGCTCCCGGTGCAGGAAATTCCAGTGTGTTTAAACCATTTTATCCAGCAGTGTAGTGTGTCAATATATAATTTGATTTTTCTTTAAAATATATAAATGCAGCTATTTTATCAGACCCTTGTCTCCTTATAATTAGGCCAGTGAAATTTGACTTCTTAGGCCTGCTCTCTGCTGTATGTATGAGATTTTGCATTTGTTCTAATAAATAAAGTGTCATATTGAAATTACCCCTGAATTCGTCTCAACTTTTTTCTTACTGCACATTGTGCCATCATAGATATTGCAGATCCATACTTAACAATTATAAAGTGTTTATTAAACTCTTAGGAACTGTTTTAAGCCTAAATATTCTAGTATATGAGTTTATTATGATATCTTGGATTTATATTTCCTCTAAAATAATTCCTGCTCTTTATTGGAGATGTGATTTGATATTAGTTTATTAGTTCACACACACCTCTTTCCGTTAAATCATTCATGGAGTTTACAGTCTGGCTGCTAAGCATTTGTGCAAAGCAGATTTGCATAGACTTTGGGCAAATCAATGATCTGAACATGGGTTCATCTTGGTCATTTCATTATAACTCTTGGCTTTATGTTTAGGGTCTTGTCTTACAGGAAGGTGAACTTACACTCACCGGCCACTTTATTAGGTACACCTGTCCAACTGCTCGTTAACGCTTAATTTCTAAGCAGCCAATCACATGGCGGCAACTCAGTGCATTTAGGCATGTAGACATGGTCAAGACAATCTCCTGCAGTTCAAACCGAGCATCAGTATGGGGAAGAAAGGTGATTTGAGTGACTTTGAACGTGGCATGATTGTTGGTGCCAGAAGGGCTGGTCTGAGTATTTCAGAAACTGCTGATCTACTGGGATTTTCACGCACAACCATCTTATAGGGTTTACAGAGAATGGTCCAAAAAAGAAAAAACATCCAGTGAGCGGCAGTTCTGTGGGCGGAAATGCCTTGTTGATGCCAGAGGTCAGAGGAGAATGGCCAGACTGGTTGGAGCTGATAGAAGGGCAACGGTGACTCAAATAACCACCCGTTACAACCAAGGTGGGCAGAAGAGCATCTCTGAATGCACAGTACGTCGAACTTTGAGGCAGATGGGCTACAGCAGCAGAAGACCACACCGGGTGCCACTCCTTTCAGCTAAGAACAGGAAACTGAGGCTACAATTTGCACAAGCTTATCGAAATTGGACAATAGAAGATTGGAAAAACTGTCCTGGTCTGATGAGTCTCGATTTCTGCTGCGACATTCGGATGGTAGGGTCAGAATTTGGCGTCTACAACATGAAAGCATGGATACATCCTGCCTTGTATCAACGGTTCAGGCTGGTGGTGGTGGTGTCATGGTGTGGGGAATATTTTCTTGGCACTCTTTGGGCCCCTTGGTACCAATTGAGCATCGTTGCAACGCCACAGCCTACCTGAGTATTGTTGCTGACCATGTCCATCCCTTTATGACCACAATGTACCCAACTTCTGATGGCTACTTTCAGCAGGATAATGCGCCATGTCATAAAGCTGGAATCATCTCAGACCGGTTTCTTGAACATGACAATGAGTTCATTGTACTCAAATGGCCTCCACAGTCACCAGATCTCAATCCAATAGAGCATCTTTGGGATGTGGTGGAACGGGAGATTCGCATCATGGATGTGCAGCCGACAAATCTGCTGCAACTGTGTGATGCCATCATGTCAATATGGACCAAACTCCCTGAGGAATGCTTCCAGCACCTTGTTGAGTCTATGCCACGAAGAATTGAGGCAGTTCTGAAGGCAAAAGGGGGTCCAACCCGTTACTAGCATGGGGTACCTAATAAAGTGGCCGGTGAGTGTAGTTTTGTGCAGCCAGCCTCCAATGGGTTCTCTATCACTGTTGCCACAGATTTATCTTCACTGCGCTTCCTTCCACTCTGACTCCTTGTATGATTATGTAGGAGGTGGAAACGCTGAATTTTACCTAGAAAAATGTTGTTAGATATTTTAATGACTTTTTGAGTTTGTTAAATTTTACTATTTTTATAATAGATCTGACATCATTGCACACTTTGGACAACTGTTAAATTTATTTGTCTTTCAATAGCTCTGTTCATCTCTCACATCTGAGCTTTGGTGTTAAATTTTCCATGTGTGTATGATGTGGAAGGAGGATATAGGAATACTTATTAGGACAGACGTTCTTGTACAGTAAGGGAAGAGTCACAGTTTAATACCACCATCTACAGGAAGAAGGCTTCCATGAAGCCACATCGAAAACAATTCTTTGTTAGTTCTTTGGTTTTTCACTTTCAAGATAAACAACATAATCAATATTTTGTTCTTCGTATTTTTCTTGTTTTTCTTTTTTTTTTTAGGGGGCTTGTGTGTTTGAGAGAGGTTGGAAAAGGTACCATTCTGGAAATGAACATCTCTTTTGAACATGTGGTGCATTATGTTTCAAGTCAGCATTAGAACGGCAAAAGTCTTATTTATTTATGTCATGACCGACTGTTTACAATGTATATCTGGCCCATCTCGATGTAAAACTAGACAGATTCATTGCTATGAAATCAGCAACCTCTCTGGTATCCAGCTTCTGTTACCACAGCAACCACTTAGCAGTTCCTGTTTTCGCCTCTGTAGCTACATTTCAAAGTAAAAGCATATTTGAAAGATAAACGCAGATTTTTGCATTGGTTTCCCTTTGCTCCGTACCTTATGACTGAGCATTTTAGGTTGTAGCGTTTTTTTGTTTGATTGCTATTTTTTTTTTTTTTTTTACCCAAAATGTTGTATAATCAAAACAGTTCAAAACATGGATGTAATTTCTTTTTTTTTGGGGCGGTAGGGGGATGGGGGGGACCTTGCAGGTCTATATACATAAACCATTACGGTTATTGTCGGTGTTAAATATTATCAGTGAAAATGTATCTATATTCCAAAAAATGTCCCATCCTACCTGACATAGTTAGCGTTCAGTGAGATGCTATGTAATGTATAGCTAAATTTAGCACATACTAATACACTGAAACCCCTCAGGATACCTTATTTGAAGAATTATTAAATAAAGAGTTTCAGACAAGCTTCTATTGCAATTTAATAACTGTTAGGATTATCCTTGCTGATGATGTGTGGGTCTGTTATACCCTCGTAATACCTGCCAGTTGCATGTCAAAACTATTGTTTTCCCAAGTAGTTTACCTAATTAGGACAGTTCCTCTGTCAGGATAAAATTGTATGTGTAAATTGTATAAAATGCTTCTTTAACTCTGTAATTCGAGGCAATTTCAACAACATGTTAGCCCGGTTGATCAGTGCTGCCTTCTGTAACCCTAAGGAATTTCTCTGCACTGAGTAAGATTACAATGTGTGTCAAAATCTCTTGTTATGTCTCATGGTTATTTAAAATAAACATTGTGAAGTGTTATTTAAATAGTTTGTCCCAAGTGATCTCATCTCAGGAAAAGAAACAGAGAGAGAAAACGTAAAGGTGTAAACACAGAGCTTTCCCTAACATAACAAAGGAAATCTACAAAAACAGGTCACTCCTGCAAACATTTTGTGCATAAATCAGCTGTGTGACAGTCTATGTGACATCTGGTCACACTGCTCCTAAAATGATCAAATGAAAGGTAAAGAATAATCAATATGGACATGGATTTATTTTTCTTTTAATGATAAAAACATAAAGTAACATACGAACAAGTTAGAACAAAAATTTATTTCACTCATGTCAGTTCGATATCCAATCAGAAATAAGCAATGTATCATCAATCACCGGTCAAATATTTACTCTATTGCAACACAAACACGATATCAGCATGATACGAGTACATTAATCATTTACAATACTAAATAACTGAAATTATAATACAAAAATGGCTACAATTGTAGATCGTGATTTTTCATCATTATACACATTTATCATTATGATATGAAGTGTACAGGTTATTTGCATCCTCGAGGCTTCATTTGCAGAGACTGGTCAGCACAACATTCATGCCTCCTTGCCTCTCAGTGTACTAAAACACACATTGATTAATGACACATAACGCCAACAATAACATTCCCTTTCTGTAAAATTCCTGGCAGATTTTGGGCAAAACTTTTAAGTACAGAGTGGAAAACAAATATTAAAAAAATAAAAAAGACAACGCAGTGTCAGAAACCACTTTTTATCTCAAGAACGCCACAACTTGAGCTAAGCTTCTCTGATATTATGATAATGTCAAGTGTCAAAGAAAATCTAATAGTTTTATGATTGAATCAACACATTGATAGAATTGATTCTGCCAGAATGGATAGCAGAAGTATCCAATGGCCCCTGCGCTTCTAACTTACCCAAACATCTTCAGCTGGCATCTCCATCTATACATTTTCATTACAATGATGTGAAGGGAGACAATAAAGAACAACATTCTTTGTAATTTTATCCTTTTCAAATCACTACTGTCGCAGGAATACATGTTTCTATAAAAAAGACAACATAATTATAAATATATCCTGTGCTGTTTCTTCCTAGCTAACAACACACTTCCCCATATATGGCTCCTCAGCCTTCAGCTTCAGACTGTTCCATAGGACATTCCGGGATTAACACATTGCCAAGTTTGGAGATTATATAAACATTTTGCTTAGGAATGTTCTCTCATCCAAACCTGCAGCTTAGTATATAATCAGATACTACATCTCCCCCACCAGTGCTATCTAAAGTGCTGAAAAATGAATCAATGTCCCTGGTTTGTAGTGCTTTAAATTTACAAAGGTTTACTGTGTCTGTATCAATCTCCCTAATCTTCACTCCTTTGGAATCTTTTCAAAGGAGTGAAATCTTGGAAACCAAGTCCAGTGGATATATATATATATATATATATATATATATATATATATATATATATATATATATATATATATATATATATATATATATATATATATATATATATATATATATATATATATATATATATATATATATATATATATATATATATATATATATATATATACAGTATATATATATATATATATATATATATATATATATATATATATATATATATATATATATATATATATATATATATATATATATATATATATATATATATATATATATATATATATATATATGTGTGTGTGTGTGTGTGTTTTTTTTTTTTTTTACTTTTACGGAATTCTTAAAGAACAGCTTTTTACCAATCACTGTTTCCTGGAATGTGCTGTGTCATCTGATGAGATTATGTTATCTAGAGAAAATACAGAACATGAGAGAAAGCATATCATCATTTTGTGGTATTTTCATGTTTATCTCTCAAAGAAATCTAGAGTAAAATTATGAAATATCTACTCTTGTTATATCACATATGTATAATTGAAGAAATTGTGTTTTCACCTGAATTTTAGAGAAATAAATTTACTACAAGTGGGACAAAACTGAACTGGATAAGCATTAGTTAATAATTGACCATATATCTTTACAAAGATCTACAGTAAAATGATCTGATACTTATTTTTGAAAAAAAAAAAAAAAAAAAAAAAAACCTAAATGTTATGAAGGTTACTTTAAAGTTTTTCTCTTAATTTCCCGAACTGGCGTTGGCTACGGGCTGCTCTGTTACCGTAATGCACATTCTATGCGCGAAGTTAATAAATCTCCAAGATTTTCCGTATCACTTGTCCGCAGTTCTGGAAATCCATCTTATTCCTTCATGTAAACATTACCAGGAAGCTGAAGCAGCAGCACACTGACCCTCCTCTCAGAGAGAGGAGTTATAATCAGAGCTCCACGGTCCTGACAAGTCACTCCGCCGTGTGGAGGTGATTTACACGCGCACTTTCCCATCTTACAAATATTAATTCTGTTTCATCAGAGCTACTAACTGGCTTTAAAGCGCCGACGGGATAAAAAAAAGAGGATCTATTCGACCTCCGAATCAAGAAACGATCTGGTAAGAAAAGATTAAACACCAATTGACTCATTGATAAGCGCATATAGGCTGAATTACAAAGTTTTACACTTAGAAAAAAAAATGTTCTACTAAAATGGAAGCTGTTTAGCAAATTAAGTCCCCAATGGAAAGTAATGGAGGGGATGAAATGATGATAAAATAAACAATTTAGCCAAGTTAAAGTTGTTTTATTTGTGTTTTCTTACTCCTGCGCATCAGTATAATAGCCAAAAATGTCCTTACCATTTAATTGTTGTAAAACAAAAATCAAAATAGAACATCTGTTAGTCCTGCCTTTGCATTGGCCAATACAAAAGAATGCAAAAAAGAAAGCAAATAGCATAAAATATAATAGATAAAAAATAAAAAGTGTGCTCCAATCAGCCTCAATAATAGCATAATTCAGCATTTGACATGTGTGTATTGGTTTATAGCCCTCTTGAGCATATTGGCATCTTTAGAAAGCCAATCTATGTTTAGTAACTCTACAAGGGGTTGTTCTAGACCGATTTTGGTCCAGTTGTTCTTTAGAGGGCACAACTGAAAGTATAAAATAATAAAAAATAAACATCATCTTTATTTGTAGAGCACTTTTAAAACAGCTTCCGCTGAAAACAAAGTGCTGAACACAGCTAAAAATAACAGAAGACAATAAAAGAATAAAATACAGCATACAAATATAAAATAAGGCAATAATAAGAATTTCTTTAAGCTAAATAAACAAACAGTGCAATAGGTCATTTTTTTAATCTCTCAAGAGAGCTAAAAAAACACTAATAGCTCTGGAGATGCTGATCAAGCAGATGTCGATTGTGAAATACAGCTGAAGCTAAATTTTTAATTCACTTAAAAAAAAAAAATCTATAGTTACATTTTTATGCTCCAACACATATTATTCAAAACATAATATATCATAGCCTCTGTACAGAACTAGAACCGCCCAGCCTGACACTGGTTTAATACAGAGTACTGTGACCAAATTCAACTTAAGTTGAAAAAAAAGTTTCAGAATAACATTGGAATTGCTTAAGAAAAAAAAAATGGACCCAGAAGGTTTAATGGAGATCATGAAGTTCACATCAGGAGTTCATGTGAACAACAGTGGCTCCCACAGCTGTACTCATGCAGACTCAAGGAGAGTCTTGTTGCAGCTGGGCTGGAGTCAGGGGCTATTTATATTGACATGCCATTCATTCTGCTAAAAATAAAGACACACACTCATTGGCCCTCTTAAAATGTCATTGCACACAACCTGTTGCAGCCATTAGCTATTTGCACAGACTAAACTACTGGACAAGAGATTTACTTGCGGTTTCTGAATATATTCAAATATTTTTTCAATCTTTTCCAGAGTCCTGCTGAAACCTTTTAAACTCCTATCAACATGTCGTCTTACTATGCAGCTGCTATATCAGCCCTTCATACATCCAACCAACCGATCAATCAGCCTTTCCCTGAGAGGACACGTAAGACTAGCAGCAGTAAGAGTCACACATCCAGCAAGAAGCCCAGCTGCCCTCCATCTTTGCAGAAGCGTTCTCCTTCACCTGAGCCTCCTGGATTTTATGAAGAGCAACAGGAGAACCCTTCAGACTATGGCATAGGTAAGGTAGACCCCAGCAATAAAACCCAGCACTATCTATGACCTCTTCACTTCTAATATATAAAATGCATTTTCAGGTGGTTATTACCCAGTAGAGATTGGAGACATTTTTGTTGACCGCTATCAAGTCCTTAAAAAGTTGGGATGGGGTCACTTCTCCACAGTATGGCTCTGCTGGGACATGATGTGAGTAAATGTCTGACCTTGTAACTCTGCTTGAAGTTTAATCATTTAGAAATAATCATATCAAATGAAGTTTTCAACAATGAGTCACATTACAGCCACTGGTTTAATTTAGTTAAATGGCATTTTATATGAAACATGATTGATTCCTCAAAATAGCTCCAGCTTGGTCAGACTGGAAGGAACAAAGCTCTGAACAACACCTTAAGATAGATAGTCTGTTAGATTGAAATCTAAGCTTAAATGGATTCGCTGGATCAAAATAATGTCATTGCTGCTTTGACTGCTGGTCTTGCTGATAGGTGAACTTCTGTACCAGTGGCCTTTTTTCACAGTATGTTGACTGAATTCAGAAAAGGTTCTTAAGTTGGGAGTTAAACCACTAGGTACTATATGGAGGACTAATAGACTCTGCATACAGGGCACCCACCCCTAATTATGCCGTATGTCTAGTCTGTAGCAGGGTCTCTGTTAGGTTTGGCCTGAATTGCTCCCATCTTTTCTACCTTATTTCCCTCAATATGATCCAGCAACCGGCCTGTTTGGTTAAAAGGAAGGTGTCTTCAGGGTGCTGTTCTGAGTTTGTTTTCTGTCACACTGCGTACTTTACATACAGGCCAGAATGTAGGAATTTTGCATAAAATGACCTATGTTTGCTCTGCCCCTTTATTGACATTTCCAAAAGCTTCTTCCGCCTTATTCAAGCCACTTCTCTATAAAGTTTGGTTCAGTTGCTCAGTTTTTAGAGTTGTTTAGCTAGAAGGTTTGTGCTCCTAAGTCTAAGTCCAGGAACTTCCATATTTATGGAAGAATTACAGTTTAGTGGCTGGGGGAGGGGGATGCTCAGTTGCAGCAAGAAGATCTGGGTTCGATTCCCAGCCCAGGAATTTGGGAGTTTGCATGTTTCCTGCTCTATCTGGATTTGGTTTGCATGTTCTGCCTGAGCATGCGTTGGTTCTCTCCGGGTACTCTAACTTCCTCCCACAGTCCAAGAACATGACTGTTAGGTTAATTGGTTTCTAAATTCTCCTTAGGTGTGAGTGTGTGCGTGTCTGTGTTGCCCTGCGATGGACTGGTCACCTGTCCATGGTGTACCCCGCCTCTCGCCCGTAGACTGCTAGAGATATGCACCAGCTTCCCACTTGGGATAAAGCATGATAGGAAATGGATGGAACAAAGTTCCTTTGTTAGAACCCTGCAGACAGTCTTTCTGGATAACTGAGCAAGACACCTTAACCCCAGAAATTCCTTCACAGAACAGCTGAATTATTCACACAGGTGGATTTATTTACTAATCAGTTGACTTCTAAATGTCTTTAGTTGCACAATGGGTATCTGAGTAAAGGGGACTAACACCACATGTTTCATTCCTATATCATTATCCTTACTGTTGATAGTTTTGTGCTACTTTGTATTGGTCTAAAATCCCTAGATAACATCTTCAATTATGTGGTGTTAATATGACAAGTTGTTGAAAATTTCAAAGGGTATAAATGGTTTTGCAGGTAACTGTAAATTTCTTGTCACTGTTGTGATTTTTTGCCCTGCAGAACAAGGCGCTTTGTTGCTCTGAAAGTGGTGAAGAGTGCAGAAACATTCACAGAGACGGCTCTGGATGAGATCAAGCTGCTCAAATGTGTCAGTTGATGAAGTAGACATTATATTATATCATCCGTTTCTGTTGTTTTTCGGCATTATTCATTTTTATATATTTAATTTTTAAGTGAAGCTTTTATTTTGGCTTTGTTTGTTTTGTTTTTTCATTTTTGGTAGACCAACATTTTTTAATTAAGTAAAGGATTTTGTTTAAATACTATGTTTTTTAGGTAAGGGACAGTGACCCTCGAGATCCCAAACGTGAGAGAATAGTGCATCTTATTGATGACTTCAGGGTCTCTGCTCCGACTGGTGAGCGTATCTTTTACAGAAAACAACGCTGCCAACTTCCCTCAGCATTATAGTTCTTAAATTATTCTGTGTCATGTTCTGACTGACTTCAGGCAATGCTAACAGTTATGCATTCTTTGCGAAAGCCTTAACTTCCTTAGCTGCTCTCCAGATGTGTGCATGGTCCTGGAGGTTCTTGGTCACCAGCTGCTCAAGTGGATCGTCAAATCCAACTACACAGGGCTCCCCCTGCCTTGCGTTAAAAGTATCCTCAAACAGGTTTGACTCCATCCTATTTTTCCATTACATGTAATCATCCCTCCACATTTCACTTCTGACTAAGGTCTCATTTGCAGGTTTTGCAAGGTTTAGATTACTTGCACACTAAATGCAAAGTCATCCATACAGACATAAAGCCAGAAAACATCCTCCTGAGAGTAGATGAGGTTTATATTAGAAAGCTTGCAGCTAACACAAAGCTGTGGCAGTCATCCATTCCTCCTCCTCTCAGCAGCTCAGGTTTGTAAAAATTGGTCAATACTTGCTTTGACTTAATAAGGTTTGATATCTTTGATAAATTTCTGTTGATGGGTGATTTAATGTGTGGCTTCTTGAGATCATATATTCCTCCATTTATTCTCCTTTTCATTTCTTTTTTCTTTCAGTGAACCGAAACCCAAGAGAAAAACAGGTGTGCAGTTTGAAATGAACTTCTTTGTGATTGTTTTTTTCATTTTGTTCATAATATTTTTGTTAAATTTTGTTATAACTAAGGCTTTTGTGCTTCATTTCCTTAGAGTGTGTTCAACTTCTTTGGGAAGCTGATGGGGGGTTTGCAAACTCTTGGCCAATGGGTAAGATATATGCTGTGAAGATCCTCAGTCATCCAGGTCATAGTCATGCCAAAAAAAGTAAACAAAAACATTTCGCAATGGTTTTATTCACAAGGTATTATAGATAAAACTTCAACGCCAAACTCAAAGCTATTCCTGACATTTCGAATAGAAAAGGCTTCCTGGATGGGGAGCGAAACATCTTCAAACTTGGAAGCAAAGTCCAGTGGATTGTTTTGTTTTTTTTTTTTTACTTTTTTGGAATATGCTGTGTTTGTTAATTACACTTGTGATATGAAACACAGAAAGACACATTTTAACAATGAAATGTAAGATAATTGTATCACGTTCCTATCTTATTTCACATCAGTGTTATGTTTGCATGAGAGAATGAAACAAACACATTTATCTGTAAAATACTTCATCTTTGATAAATGCAACATTGCCTACATGTGTTTTTTTTTAACCCAAGTCATATAAAAAGCTTTAAATTTGTTTTTCTGTGCCATAAGACAAAAAAAAAAAGATAGATTATTCATCCCTATTTGATGGATTTTTCCTTTTAGCTACTTGTCAAATTGATTTATCATAGGTGATTATTTAACAAATCTTGGCATGTAGGAGTCAGCAGGTCTAAATAGCAGTCTTTAAACGTGATCTCTATGTCAAAAATGCCTTTTTTTTTACTCTCCTGTTTCCAGCATAAACTAAATTCTAAAGGGATATTTCACTAGACCTCCTCAGATGAGACTAAGATTAAGCTTTTCTGCTAAACCCTCAGAGGTTTTAGTGAGAAGCAATGGATAATGTTCCAACTTTAGGCCCCACCATAGTTCAGAAACTGCTAGTATGAAAATTACTCACGATTTCCTGGCAGCTGTTTCCGGTCTTGTTGTTATTCCTATCCTGCTTGATCCAACTGCAGGCTTCAGTTTCCTTCACCACCCTTTTTAACAGTTTTTTTTGTTGTTGTTTTTACTACTCTTGTTAATATTCTCTGCATATTTGATTGCAATGGTTAGTGGTGTGTGGACGATACCCACCTCTGTCTTCCCAGTAAACAGTAATCTAATTTAACTCCTAATTTAGTTCCCCTTTGCCACAACAAATACAGACAGTTTTCCCTGTGAAATGCTAAATATAGAATCAGAAAATGCACCTGGAATATTTTCAGTGTGATAAATTGCATTGTGGATAGTAAGATCACATCTGCAAATTTACTCCATATATTTTTGATGATCAACATATATTCTGCCTACTCATGAAGGCAAAACATGTTTTCACAATCTGTTTTGCTGATTTAAGACACAAACTCTAAGTGCAGCTGGCTAGTAGGCTAGGAGGAGTTTTCATAGCATTCTTTAGTAACCCTTAGTAGATCATCCCTATAGTGTACTTTTCTATCGGTATATATTTGATCTAAGGGTTTTCCTCTACTGATATTATCTGCTAGTGCACAAAGATTGGTTTCAAGATTTCCAGGACATTTAGGGAATACATAATATTCAATTTGCTGTTTTTTTTTTTTTTTTTACTACCAAGAGAGATTAAGCCAGTTTTGCTGAATAATTCTTTGCCAAAAATGTAATGTCTATATGTGCTCATTTCTTTTTACCTCTAACTATATAAATTATTGCTCTATGGTAGATAACAAGCAGAAATTATATAATAAAGTTTACAGTTAGTAAGGTATGGTAATTCAAAGTTATTGTTCTTTGTCCAAATTAGGAGAACTTAAGAGAAGGCTTTTATAATGCTGGGTTAGATCAGATTCTTGGATGGCTTTCTCTGCTTAATGTGTGGATGTGTCCTGAGAAGACAAGAAGAATTTTAATGTTCCTCTAGCAGCTGTTGTTGTGGTTTAAATGCAACTTGATGGTTAGCAACCATGTGTTTAACAGAACCCTGGACAAGGTCAAGGAAGTAGGTTTCCAATCCTACATACATTTTTTTCTTTCACTGTGGAATCAGTCAATAATTTCAGACACATCAGGATTTGCTTAATTTTGCTTGAATTGTTTGCTTTAAGTAATTTTTTCTTATAAGTGCACTTTTTCTACAATTGGAACAAAACCATTTACATTTGAAATAAGAAAAAACAATTGCATTGTCTTATTTTGATTGCATAATTCCTAATTATCTTATTTTAAAAGTAAACAATCTAATTCCATTGGCAGTTCATCTTATTTACCTGCTCAAATTAAGAGTAAATACACTCAATTTAAGACATTTTTACTTATTTCTAGATACTATTTGCTGTGTTCAATTGCCATGAAGTTGATAGTTCACTAATCCTTCATTATTGTAATTAACTGATACTTATTTCTGCCAACTCACTGTCACAGTCCAGCAAGGTTTCCAGGAGCCAAAATAAGCGGTTATCGGCGAAGGACAAAAGCTGTCGAGGACAGAAGAGTGCATCAGAGCTGAAATCAGACAAACTCACTGTGACTTTTTCTGAAGACGCTGGTGCCGTTTCAAGCACACAGCAGTCCACTTGTAATTCAAAGCTCAAAGGCCTCAACCTTAAGATAAGGAGACAAACTTTGCTGTGTGAAGATGGAGTGGACAGTGTCCCCCGCAGCTACAGACACTCACTGGGCTCATGTCCAAACTTTAGCATGGATGCTCCTGCCTCTGGCTCCAGGTCTGTGTTATTCCCCCAAACTTCACACACCGAGCCGGTTCCAGCCTCCTCAGCTAGAGGTCAGTCTCATGACTTCTCATGATCCTTCGGTTCTCTTTTGGAAACATCTAGTCGAGACAACCTTTAATTAACTTTTAAATGATTTACCTTTCCTTAGCCAATGTTTTACCATAGAATTCTCCAATATGTTAAAGCCCTTTGAATGTTTTTCTGTATTTTAGGAACCAGTGACATAGATGTAGCTTTAGACCTTCTAAAGCCTCAGAATGCTGACAAGATTGTTGTGAAGATTGCAGACCTGGGAAATGCCTGCTGGGTGGTGAGAAATTAAGCAAGACACAGAATCAATACCTACATATTAATTATTCAGTGTAACTAGCGTTCTTTATGAAATATACATTTGTTAATAATTCAAAATTATTCAAAGGATATTTTAAGACCTATGCTCTGGCTTTTGATCAATACTTTAATTTTCCCTGTTTAGTTTTACTATGCTTATTTGAAAAATTATTTGCAAAAACTTGCACTGCAAAAATTTTTTTCATTTTAATTTTTTTCTTAAAATAACTGCATTTTTCCTTGAATTTAGCAGGTAGGGAGACACTGCTTATGGAACAAACACAATCTACATTGATTGCAGTTGTTTTTTCTTATATAAATAAGAAAAAATAACAGCACTCTCTTATTTCAAGTGCATAATATCCAACTAGCTTAGGGTAAAGATGCTCATTCCAATGGCAGATCATCTTATTTTCCTACTTACCGTAAATTAAGGGTAAATACATTTATTTTAAGGCATTTTCATTTTCAGAACGTTTTTGCAGTGAGGAATCCTAAACTTTTATGTAGTAGAAGTTAGGATCTGTTAACCATAAAAAAAACTCCTGAAAGATCCTTTACATAAGGCTCTTTTTATATTGCAGCAATACTGGTTGGGAAATTATTTCTATAAAAAACGAAGGTCACTTAAAAAATGATCAAAAAATTGCATTAGAAATATCAGTTTACCCCCACCATTAGCTCTAGACTATAAAAACCTTCTACATTTCTGTCAAACACTGATAGACTGACTTTACTAACTTCAGATTGATTATCTGACTTTGAGAAATTATGATTAAAATTAAATAAAATCAATAATTAAATCTGGAAACAGAAAAAAAGAAACACTCGGATCATGGTTTTGAGTTCACCCTTGATAGTCAGATGTACAGTACAGATTATAGATTCATATTTAAGTTTTTTGATTTTTTTTTTTATCAGCACAAACACTTCACTGAAGATATTCAGACATGCCAGTACCGCTCCATTGAGGTACTGATTGGTTCAGAGTATGACACTGCAGCTGACATTTGGAGTACTGCCTGCATGGTGAGCTTCCTTTTCTCTGTTCAGATATTTTTGTCTTGTTCTATTCCAGAATTGCCAGATCTTTTCATTTTGTTGTCCCTGTTTGTGCCCTGAAGGCTTTTGAGCTGGCTACAGGAGACTACTTGTTTGACCCCCAGTCTGGAGCCTCATTCTCCCGAGAGGAAGGTGTGTTCAAAGCTGACATTGCTCTATTCAGATCGAGATAAATTATAAGCTCTATGTTTCCATGTCCTTAGATCACATTGCTCATATAATTGAGCTGCTTGGACCTCTTCAAACCCAGTTTGCTCTCTCTGGGAGAAAATCCAAACAATTCTTCAACAGAAAAGGTAAAGTTAGTTAATAGAAATGTACAAAATCTGGACATTTGTGTGCGGGAGCACTAGTTATTTCTCATATACTGTAAATAATAACATTAACAGATATTTTTTTTCTCTTCTTAGGACAACTGCGGCACATCTCAAAACTGAAACCATGGAGCTTATTGGAGATCCTGCTGGATAAGTACGAATGGCCCAAAGAGGAAGCTCTCCAGTTCAGCTCCTTTCTCCTCACCATGTTGGAACTGCAGCCTCAGAAAAGAGCCACAGCTGCTGAGTGTTTGAAACATCCCTGGATTACCTCCTAAAGACAGCAGCTTCATGCCTTTCAGAGAACAGCAGACAGCGTTAAATCAGCCGTGCTCGCATCGGGAAAAACTCTCACCCAAGTTTTACTTTTTTATTACATCGGTTGTTTGATCCTTTGAAATTGCAATATCTCACATTTCCCATATTCTAAATGTTCCTTCCTTCTTTATAATATGGTACTTTTTCAATAAAATGTATAAGAACTTATAACCAATGTTGGTTTTCATGTTGGAGTTTCGATGAACTGATATCAGAGGTTGATTTTAGTTCCATAACCAATCATTGTTAACTCTGCTGAAAGAGTTCAGCTAAACCATAGATGTAAACCATTTGAAAGTAGAAATCAATTACCCCAAACTATCCAAAAAGCCTTTAGGGGGTTGCTTAGAGGTTCCACAGAAAAATAAAATTGGGTTTATAAGTTACAGTAGAATGGAAACAGAAGTCTGTCACAGTAACCAGTAAACCCACATAGGTAGAAACAGGTTATCTAAACTCAAAAAAATTTGCTTTTCAAATAAAGGACAAGAGTTGTTGACAGTTTAGCAAAAATTACTTCTTTTTTTTTTGTAGCTGAGGAGCGGGTGTGACCATGTTGACTGTGGAGGTTTCAGGAGGCTGCACATTCCTTGCATGCATTCAGCACAGCTCTGTGTGTAGGGGGATGGAAGGAAAAAGAGGGAGGAGTTAGTTTCATGTGCAGGCATATGTCCGGCGTCTGAAAAAACTCACATTTTCCTCAAGCAGCAACGAGAGGTGAGAAGCGGACGGGGAATACAACCTGCATCCACGTGTAAGTCTTTTAGATCCTTTACCAGACATTAGTGAAGTCATAAATGACAAAAATACTTTGTTCCTGTTGTTTCTGTTTTGCTTAAAGGGTACCATAGTTCAGCCCTGATGCATGCCTTCTGCATTTAGAAATGTGTGCTTGTGGTGTTGTGCATATTAAAGATAACATGTCATCTTGCAATCCTGTTGCACAAGCATTGTGGTCTTTAATGCACCTCAAAATGTCACTTTAGCTGTTTTATTGCTTTATTTTGGAGCAGTTGTAGATTAACCTCTACATAAAGGTTGATATTTAAAAATTTGGCCAGCTTTCTCTTTTAGTTGTTAAAATTTACCAGTTCTGTTTTTTTTTTTTTTTTAGTTTGGTATGTTAAGAGGAAGCCTGAGTAAAGGTTAAAGTCTCAGTTCTTTGGCTTTGGTGACACAGCTCTTAACCTCCAGCCTGTTGCCATGCAACTCCAACTCTAAATCAGAAGGGATTACCTCAACTACCATGGAGCTTTCACAGCTGCATTATTACTTCAAGGTAGCCCTTTTTCAGCAGCTCTCCTCCCTGCTTTCACAGCGAGTGAGTTCTATTTAAGATTCAAGCTGTGCTTTTCTCCTCTCTCTTCCCTGTTTTATCTTTGCACAGGCTCTCCATACAGATAAACAGCTTCTGAAAGTGAGAAAGCTGCTTATAAAGCCCAGTTTTGTCCCAGTTGATTGAAGCTGATATTAGATCATTTCTTTATAGCGATACCATCATATTATGTCTGGGTGTGGGTGTTCAGCTTGGATGTGGGGGGTGCAGCAGGAGCTGGAAGACAGGAGCAGCTACTGTATTGTACGCTGCACAGTAAACACCCATCTCATTATCTAAATACAAAGGGACAGGTAGGGTAAGGGGAGACAGGAGCGCACTTTGATCTGTCTCCTGTGGACGTTTGCATGGTGTCTCCGCTTTGCTTATCACTGTCTCCTTCAATAATGCGGCACTGCATGCTATAATAATTCCTTATTGATTTATTTGATCTCTTTCTTGTTTGCAGGATGTTGCTCACTCTCCTTTACAGTTGCACCGGTGGGGCTGCCCTGCTCTATGCACTGTACAGATGGGTGATCCCTACTGTTGTGCAGTATCATGCAGGACTGGCGCTTATTTGGCATGATGGGATTGTGGAGGGACTGCTGAATACACTGACCCAGACTACGCGTCCTCAGGTGTGCTGTTGCTTAACAACCGCTTATCACAAGCTCAGCTAAAAAAAATAAACTCATATAATCAGAGGCATGAGAAACACTACATTAAATAAGTGTGTAAATAATATTAATGAAGCAGTTTGCATTCACATCCATTCACTGACTACTCCAAATGACCTATCTCATGTTTTTATCCAATCATCTGATTATTTAAAAATAAAGTGCCTTGAAAAAAAATACTCTTTGAACTTTAAGTGAAAGGAAAACAATAAATCTCAACAGTTTAAACCATTTGACCCAAATTTTACCCCATTCCTCTTTGTTAAATCTTAAAAGCTTAATGAAAACGGATTGATAAAGTGTTGGAACACAAATGCTGAAGTCTTTTTTTCTGATTCTTGTATTTAGGTCTAGAATGGGAGATGAAATCCTGTCCTTATTATCAAATGTTTTCTGCCGTAATAGTGTTTCTTGCTAGAATAATTTGTATTTAGCTACATTCGCCTTCCCAGTGACCCATCAGCTATTACATCCCTGCTGAAGACAGGCAGCACCACAGGATGATGCTGCCACCACAGGTTTCACCAATGAAAGAGGAGTGTTTAGGGGCAATGTGTGCTTGGTCTAATTCATTAAATTCTGCATGTTGACAAAAGAGTTCAATTTCAGTCTCATCCATGAGAGCATGTTCTTCAGTATGTTTGCGATGCCCTTTGCTCGAACTGTGGTGAATTTGAAAATGAATGATCAAGGTTATCTTTGGTTAACATTGGAATTGCTCCTGCCTTTTTTGATATTTGCCAGTCTTATGGAGCACACAATTAATAGATGTCTTTTCAATTATCTCCTCCACCAGAGCTATGGAGTTTAGGTCATGTGTTGGTATAGTTTCAGTTCTGCCTCATGCATACTAGGTATCATAGCATGGTTTGAACAGAGTTCACTATGCATAATTTTGCCAGTTTAACCTGCTAGAAATGTCTCTTTTTGGTTTGTTACCTGTTCAATCTGCATTTTGTTCACCAGTGTTCTTTAACACAGCTTAAAAGATTTTAAAAACAGTTGGATTTATACTGAGATCTAATAGTACACTAGTTGATTCTATGTTACTATTCAGCTCTACTTCTGTATATAGCACCAATTTACAGTACATGTCATCCAAACTTTAAAAGAAATCATTTGGATCATGCAGTCGGATTGGTTAAAAGTTGTCTATCTAAGGAGAACCAGCTGATTGCATCGAGTCACTGACTGCAGGGTTCAGTGACCTCCATATGTGCTGGATTTCATTCAGCTGCTTCAGCATAAAGTTTTCCCGGATGTCACTCCTCTAAAGGTCCTCTCAGTAAAAACTGGCCGTATGCTTTTTCTAACACTTCACAAATACATTTTGTTGGGTTTGGACATAAAATCTAAAGAAAATGCATTAACCTTTATCATATTTTTTACATTTTATTTCACAACAAAAAAAGACACAAAAAAATTTTTCAAGGCACATACAATCAGGCCAACATGTGAGCAAATCCTCCATGGAAAAATCTATCTAATGGGTAAAATGAGCACCGACCCATTATTGGTAATATTGATCATCAGGGTCACTAGCGTTTATTCTGAATGATCTAAAAACATCCCTTGCAGCTAAAATGACTTTGTAGCAGATAGCAAGCCCAGATGATAAAATATGAGGCAAACAAAGAAAGTAAAAAAAAAAAAACGTTTAACTTGTGGCAAAAAAATCTCACTGTGTCAAGATTATCGATGGCATAAAGTTGGTAGAGCTACAGCAGGAAGAGGCTGTGCTCAGTTCACCTCCTGTTAGTTAAGAAAACATTTCTAAGCACAGCAGGCTTAGCAAAACTACACAGATCTGCTGAGCCTGCTGTTTGTCATTTGAGCCTTCTTAATGCTCATAACCTAGCATTAAGAGCATGAAACCTTACTCCCAATCTGGTCAGTATAAACAATCCAGGCTAGAATGATATTGGTGCAATGCTGTGAAATGTATTATCCTAACTTCCAGCTGAAATTCCTGCCTCTTAAGTACATAAAATACAATGAACCCTGTAAAAGTAAAAAAAAAAAACCTTCCAAGATTATTACTGGCCTTGTTGGATGCACAAAAAAAAGTTGATACCAGTTTAATAGACATTTTATTAAAACATAAAAATAGAGGCGAGGAATATGAAGGAAAAGGCCAAAGCTAACTTTAATTCTCCTACCCTAAGCGTGTGGTACCAAACAAGAACAAAGTTCACCTAATCCTTATTGAAACCTTACAGTTTCAGTTAGAAAACAGAAGGAAGGAAAAATAATCTTTTGACACGGTTGCATAAAGTTTAGGTATAAAGTGTTGCTGAGCACATAAGGAAGAAACTTTAACCATTGGAACATGATTTGAATCAAATGTGGGCTGAAATCCTGGGCTGAATAATTTACCCAATCTTTTTGAAGTTCAAAGTCTTATATTGAATTATTTTAAACGTAAGAACGAGCTGACTAAGTCAATTTGTTCTTGCATAGACTTTGGGTTTTAAATGGCCATGGAAAGAAATCATTTTGTTAGTTTACAAAATAATTTCCTTTAACTTATAAATAAGGGCTTTTGAATTAAAATGTCATCTTGGGACTAAGCTACAATCATAGTGAAGCATCCCTGTGTATAAACTCTCGATTATCTCTGCTCTGAAGAATATATATATATATATTTTTTAAACTCAGCTGGTCAATGAACATGTCTTTATTTCTGCTTCTATGTGTATTGACCTCTGAAGCCTCAAATACCTTTGCTCTAAAAGTTATTATTTTATACATCGCAGAGGGATAAATGCTTAGCAGAACCCTGAATTATTAGTGTGTACATAAATTATGCACAACATTAGTGAAAATCAAGTTGCACAAGGCCAAATAAAGAACAACAAAGTGCTTTTTTTTAAAAGTAGTGTAAATTCTTATCGAGATTAATTCAGTTCAGGCTTTTGAAATGAAGACTCAAGGAATCCCTAACTATCATGGATCTTAACCTCAAGGGACCAGGAATGTCTGTATTGTGCAGCTTTTAAATAGGCACTTATGTTTAGCTGTATTTTACCAAGTCATACATACTGCTTATTCAGGTGGCTGTATTTGATTTATAAACAAGGGCAAGAGAACAAAAAATGCATAAAAGTGGAAGCAAAATAATATTTTCCTGCTGATAGTTCCTGCAGTATGTCATGAGGCCCAATAAAAGGTTTTTGAGTAAAAGATAGAAGGAAAAGGTCACTTATAACCTGACCTTAGAGGGTAAAGTGGGTTTATAGCCAAAAAAAAGTCCTAATCAGCAAAAAAAAAAAAAACAAAACAAAAGAAAGTGATGTCATTTGAATTTAGCACAGATTTTTTTTTAGCAAAAATATTCATTTTTTAACAAAAAAGGAAAACACTATAGAACTAATGGGCTGAATTTAACAGGTCAAAGGCCAACTAAGTGCTGATAATGTAACGTGTTAAATTTAACAAAACAACAATCCGTCATCGACTTTCTTCTTCAGCAAAATTCCAACCTTTTTATAGAAGCAGCCCCATCCCTTTTAATGCTCTTTTCATCAAATTAGTTTAGTTAATTAGGATAATACAATTTAATATAACAGTTGTTTGGTTATGATATGTATTTCTTTATGTTAGATCAGTACACTTAACCTTAAAGCTACAGTGTGTAACTTTTAGCGACATCTAGCGGTCAGACTGCAGACTGCAGAAACATGAACATCTCCCCCCCAACAGTACGGCAAGCGTTACGGGACAAAATGTCTTCCACGACGTCCGCATCACCTACCTTCTCAAGTGATGAGGTTTGTTTACATAGATAATTTTACTGATAGTATTTCATTAGTCTGTGTAGGGTATAGATTTCATGTAAAGTTAAGATAATAAATATACCCCTTATTTTTTCTACATCGTTGTGACGTTTTGGCGATCTCGCAATCGCTAGTTTGTTGGCTCTGCGCTGCCGTAGCGCAAAGATGTCTGCCTCCATGGCTGCGAGACCCGCTCCTATGTAATTATAAATAACGAATTCTAAGGCAACGCAAATATTAAGGTTAAGAGGCTGAGCTCGTAGATGATGATAAAATAACATAGTTATGTATAATATATTACATTTCTGACTGTATATCCCTGTAATTATTACACACTGTAGCTTTAAATATTAGCTTTATTGGGTTATTTATATTGACATAGCTCAAAAATCAGACACTCAGTCTGAAAGAGTCTTGGTTTTAACGACTAAATGATTATCCATGAATAAACACTTTTTTTAAAACGTAATTTTGGAAATTTATATATATACATACCTAGGAACTAGTTAATGGCCAGTATGGAACTCATATGCACCTTACAGAGGAGGTTAGCTGATTTGACAACAAACATTGGTTTATTCAGCAGCTGCTATCAAATCGTTTGATACCAGCTGCTGAATAAATATGACAATAATCAGCAAATATTCAGGTTATCATACTCACCTGAACCATCTGACTTGAATAACAAGCCCCTAATGTTGGTACTGCTGTTGCTGTTCTGTCCTCCTCAGACAAAAGAAAAGTAAGGGAGGAAAAAGGGTTAACTTAAAAAACACAAAAATCTGTGCTCATTTCATTATTCTCTTCGGATTGCAGGAATAACATAACTTTATAGACCTTTGGGAAGTGAAAGTGATCCTGTTATTGTTTTTTTTTTATTCTTGCTCCCTGCAGCGGATGTTGGCTGCAGTACAGAAGAATGCCACAAGAGGAGACCCTCGCAGCGTGGTTAAAGCCATTGATCAGTTCTGCAGGCAGAAGGAGTGGGCCATGAATGTGGGGGATGAGAAAGGTAGTAACTTTCAAGTTTATGACTGTTCATTCATGACAGAAATATTTATTCTAACTTGGCCTTTGTGACGTTATGGTCCCTCTAATGACCTCAGGTTGCATTCTGGACTCTGTGGTGACTGAAGTAAACCCAGAGACGGTGCTTGAGCTGGGAACCTACTGTGGCTACTCGACTGTGCGCATCGCCAGCCTGCTTCCTCCTCAGGCTAAGCTCATCACCCTTGAATTTAATCCAGGCAATGCTGCAATAGCTCGCCAAGTGATTGCCTGGGCAGGACTGGAAGATAAGGTAAAACCTGCCACCTGAGGTAACCCATAGGAATGAACCCATCAGCTTTGGAGTTTACATATTGTTTTATTTTTTTTTATTTTTTAGGTTGAACTAGTTGAAGGAGCATCTGGTGACTTTATCCCCAAAATGAAGGAGATGTTTGGGATAAAAACATTTGATTTGGTTTTCTTGGACCACTGGAAGGATCGCTACCTTCCTGACACAAAACTGATGGAGGTACATTTGTTCTGAAACTTTTGTACAGATTGAACTCATTTCTTTTTCTTTGCAAAAAAAGAAAAAACAAAAACAAACCGTTTGCTTTTCTTATACCAGGAGTGTGGTCTCCTGAGGAAAGGCAGCATCCTGTTGGCCGATAACGTCATTTGCCCTGGAACCCCTGACTACCTTGAATACATCCGTAACAGCCCTCGGTATAAAAGCCAGTTCTTCAAATCCCACCTGGAGTACACCAAAGTGGAAGATGGCTTGGAGAAATCTATTTTCTTAGGGTAGATTTGGAACTAAGCCAACCTCAGATTTTACACATCTTTTATTGTGTGATCATCAACCAGACATTCAATATATGAAATTCTTTCGTTTTTTTTCTAATGTGATGAATACATTAACTTGAAAATTAAAGTAACATGGAATAAAAACATTGCGTGTTGTTTGGGACCTGAAGCTGGAAGATGTAGAGAACTTTGCAGAGATGTTTATATCCCTTGAACATTTTCACATTCATGTCACATACGTCATATTATAAATATGGAAAATTTGTTGGATTTTATTGGCAGTTAAAGTGACATATAAAGTTACTTAACATAAACTGGAGGCAAATGATACACATTGTTCTTACAAGCCTTTTATGCGTTTGTAATCAAGTCTACTATGACTAGAAGTAGTAAATATAGTCTAGCTTTATAAGCTGCACTATTTGTCAGAGAACAAACAACATTATGAAGACCAAGGAACATGTAGCACTGACCAGAAAAACAGCAAAGAGGCTCCATCATAACTGCGGGAGCTGCAGACATCCACCACTCAGGTAAAACAAGATAACAAAACAGAACAAATCATACATATCTGGCCTGTATGGAAAATGGAAAACTTTTTGAAAGAAAGTCATAAGTCCTATTAAAAATGTACATTCCATATAGGGAAACAAGAAATATGTGGTTCTAAATGCACATTTTTTTTTTTTTAACAGCCAGGGGGGTATGAGAGACAGGGGAGAGACATTTGGGAAAGGACCACAGGTCGGATTCAAACCTGGGTCGCCCTTGTTGAGGACAAAGGCCTTCATATATGGGTCGTGTGCGCTAACCACTGCCCCACCAAATCATGCTCTCTAAAAGCACATTTTAAATTTTTTCTATACAGGAAAAACATATGTATCATATGTGGGAGAAAACTAATTCCACACAACAGCCTAAGCTAACTGTGACCTCAGTGAAACAAGGAGGCATCAGTATGCTTCTCTTTTTCCAGTAAGCTGGTCAAAGTAACGGGGAAGATGGATGCAGGGCAAGGAAATCTGTTAGACTTTACTATGAGCAGCTCAGTTCGTTAGAATTTATTGAAACTTATTTCATTTTTAATTCTTATGTTAAATACTGTATTTGTATGGAGATAAATGTGTCTCAATATTATTCAATCAAATAAAATATATCCCACTAAAACAATATATTTGTTATTCTGTAATTGTAATTGATTTTTTTTTTTTTTTGTAATTGTGGCCAAAACTTTTATTATGGTAATGATACATATATTTTTGTGAAGTCATGCTTTCAAAAAAATAAAAATCTTTTAGCTTCAGTCAGCACTGACTAGTAGGGGCACATCTTACGTCGTTTGTCTTTAGGCCACATCCAGGATGTTCATCTTCCCAACGCTCAAAAATCTTCAGGTAACATAGAGCTGTGAAAAGTCTGCAAATCGTAACAGAATGTTTCTGTAACGTTATTTTTTGCAAATAACCTTTTCTTTTCGTGAGAAAACATTTAATCATTTAAATAAAAAACAGTTATTTGACAAACCTTTTTAAAAAATATATATATATTCCATTTAAAGAAAAAAAAAAAATCTATTTATATTTCACTACAATTCCACGAGTTTTAACCGCAATTTATTTATTTTTGGTTGAGATTAGTTTTTGCTTGTGAGCCAAATGTATCACCATATGTTGGTGTATCATATAAATAAAGCACATTAGTATTTCTGGTCAAAAATTGATAAAATGTGCAAAAGATCAACTGGGTAGTTAGATTTTTACAAAATACATTTAAGTGTCAAGGTTGGATGCTCTAAGAGGCGTGTTTATTAATTCTATCTGCGAGCATAATCTGAGATCAATTGCAAACCTAGTCTAGTTACAATCTATAGTGCAAAAAATGTTCTGGCTCTGATATGTTCTGGCATTGTTTATGTGTTGACAGGGTTGTGATAGTGAGTGGATGTGGGTTGTCGTTGTGCCTATGTGTAAGAGCAAATCGCTGCTCATCTAATCTCTCAAAGTGATGGAGCGGGAGGAGGGTTTTTGCTGCAGCTGAATGAATGAGAAAAAAAGTCTGAGCTTGTCCACCTAGTGCTTTCTTCACAGACGGCTGCATGATAATCCCAATCTGAGGCCATTAGTGCGCATAGAGAGCGAGCGAGGCAAGGGTTCACCACAGAGAGGGAGGGAGGAGTGACTGCACTGGACTGAGATGCGCACGACTGAAAAAAGAACGGCAGAAAGGGAGAGCTTTTAAGGGATTTGGCTATGATTTGTAGACTCACATGCTGTAATGTTGCACTTTCTCTCTGCTTATGCCAGGATACTATACCCTAAAGTCATAAGAGACTTCTTTATTTAGTCTTTTAAAATTAAATCAGGTTCTTTTTTAAAACATGATTTTAGTTGTTTCCTAATTGTTCAAAGCAGAGATTACTGAGCCTTAGGTCTAGGTTTAGTTCATTATATCTGGACCATGCTTGGAGGCCTGCCTGCAGAAATTCAAGTGATGGATAAAACACAGACTGGTCCATGAACAATGGGAAGGTAAGATATTTCTTTACTTTGTACACTTTGTGTTTGATGTTATCATTTGAAAGGGAGAGTTTCGTTCCATTGCTGCCTCTTTCAGCTCCTTGCATTTCAATGCACAAAGTATTTCCGCTAAATTTAAATATGCAAAAAAAAAGGCATTCATGCAAAATGTGATGGCATTATTACAATTGAAATCTGGAGAGGTTTAATGGTTTCAAATCTTCTTGGAATGAAGAGTAATCTGAAAAAGCTCCAAGCTTCTCAGATAACTGTGGATTTTCTCTGTACTTCTCATGAACATATAATTAACCTGGTTTGACTTTTGAGGCATGAAATGGTCTGACAAGTTACATTATGTTTTCTGGTTTTGCAAAATTTATAAGGTTTTCCATCATCTGCTTTCTGCTCTTCATGATAAAAGCTTCCAACATTCAACCCGTGTCATTTTACATTTTTTCTAAAAACGCCTCATTCCTCAGCTTATTTTCAAATGTACTTTTTGGTAAATCACAAAAAAGGTTTAGTTCTTAACATTATAGAACCACATAATCACAGCTCCTGAATTCAGCAGTGCCAAAAGTTAGATTAAAATCTCTCAATACCATTTGTTCGGAATTAAATGTTTTAGTTTAATTATGCTGTAATCTATAACTAAAACTCTAAAATCCTTACTGCCTTGGCCTTGAGAAAATTCACCTTAGTAGCAGGCCTTAGTCACCATTTGCACCCTGAAAGTTAACCTGACGATGTTTGTGAAAACCAGCTTTCAGCTTAACACAAAGATTTAAAGCTGTATCCAAGTTATGGGTCACAACTTGACTTTTTTTGGTACTGTAGCTTTCATCTTTTGGCGTCTTCGTCAAATGTTTGCTTGGATCTGAGATTCTGATCACAGTGGAAAAGATTTACATTATTACAGCATCTTTCTCCCTGTAGTGACTAATATTTGAGTCATTGCTGCAGAAAACAGAAGTCACCCTATTTAGCTGCAGGGATGATATTAATGAGGTGCCCATCAGGGGCCTGTTTAGAGTTAGATTTGTATTAGTTTAAAAAAAACTGAGACCATCTTAGAGTACTCAGTGTTTCTTGTAACTGTAATGATGTGTGTGTCTGAACACAGATCTTCTGCAGTACTTTGGTAGATCATTTTATGGTATTCATTCAGTTTTATGATTATGGTATTTTATCGCCAAATAAACTTGCTGTATTTCATTGGGTGTTTATCTGACAGACCAAATCTGTCAGATAAACAGATAAGACCATAGTAGTCTAGTAGTTGATATACTTTTCCTACTGGAATCAAAAAATATGTCTACATTTCTATTTCCTTTATTTTGTTCCCTCTAAATAAGATGTAGCCTAAATAGTAAATAATATCTGCTCAATCTAAGTTTAGAATAAGTGCAGCTGTCCTGTAAATGCCTCAGAGCTTTGTTAGAAGACAATGGGGAACAAACAGTAGTACGAAGGCCCAGAAACACAGAATACAACCCAACAGAGAAGCTGTGGAGACATTTAAAGCATGCTTGTAGAAAAAATCCCAAGCAATGGATTTCACAGAGCTGTTAAATCCTTTAAATCCATCATCCAAGAGTGTAAAGACTGTGGCACAACTGCAAGACATGGTTGTCCATCTAAACTGATATACTGGACCAGGTCAGCATGAATTGGATAAGCAGCCTGCCGCACCAGGTGTCTTTGAAGAAGTTGCAGAGATCCTCGGTTGTGTTGGGGGAATCTGTTGTCACAACAACAATTAGTTGTGGTGCACAAAATGTATCACCAAATGTGGCAAGTAATTTCGAAAAGCATCCATTACTCAGACATTTACCCGACAATTATGAGCTAAAATCACAGAAAAATACATGAAAGTAGGTCTTAATGTGATACAACTTTCTATAGAATGAATACTTCACAAGGTCCTTAACAAGGTTTAAGGTCAGCAGCCATTTGTCTGCGCCTTGATTATTTCAATCATTAAATAAAGAGATTAGATCATCTGAAGTGTTCCTGTTTTCTGTCCTCAGGTGCCAAAGGTAGAAGAAGTGGCCTGGTGCTGTCAGTACCTCTGCTGGTCATCATCATGGTATCAGAGGCCTCTTCATACCACCTGTTCTGCTGTCTCAGTTTGTTGTTTAAATACCATCGAAGGCTTTATGTTCTTTGGGTCCTGCTGGTGGGCTTCAGCCCTGTTTCACTAGCACAGCAGGATACCCAGCCTCAATCTATCAAAATCGAGGGAGACATCACCCTGGGCGGGCTCTTCCCTGTACACTCCAGAGGGCCTGCTGGTGTCCCCTGTGGTGAGATCAAGAGAGAAAAGGGAATCCATCGACTGGAGGCCATGCTGTATGCACTGGACCAGATCAACAGTGACCCAGACCTGCTGCCCAACATCACTCTTGGAGCCCGGATCTTGGACACATGTTCCAGAGACACCTACGCCCTAGAGCAGTCGCTCACCTTCGTCCAGGCCCTCATCCAGAAAGACAACTCAGATGTGCGCTGCTCAAATGGAGAACCCCCCATCATCCCCAAACCAGAGAGGGTGGTCGGTGTGATCGGAGCATCAGGCAGCTCAGTGTCTATCATGGTGGCCAACGTGCTCAGACTGTTTGCGGTGAGATTTTACCCTTCTTTTCTAATGAAGGGAAATTTTTGTATTGCACCTCTTGTAAAAAGTAGGCAGACACAGATGAATAAACTGTTTATGAAAGATAAAACAGGTATTTGCATACTTACATACTGTATATACACCATGCACCTTTCCTTCCTTTGGCACCTTTTTCTTCTTTATGACTATTTGAGCTGATGTAACGAGTACATTTCTCCACTGTGAGATCAGTAAAGTCAATCAATCAATTTTAGTCAGGGCTGTAGATGAATTTCTCTAAACTCAGACCACTTTGAAATGGTAGAATTCTGTGGTATTTCTAAAGCTTAGCCAAGCATACATACATACATACATACATACTTTAAAAACCTGTCCCACTTCCCAAGCCGGGGAAAAACGCCTGATTTGACTAGGAAGAGCTTTTCCCCATGATTTTAATTAATCATAGGGTTTATAATAGATTGAATAATAACTGATTAAGAAATGACCAGAGATTTTTTTAATGTAACCAGGTTTCTAATGTCTGTATCTTCAGATGTTGATCTATTTAATTTATCTGCGGACTAATTTGAGGCCATAAGAAAAATTATTTTTTTTTCATCAAAAAACAGATGTGCCTGTTCCAAATATAAAATCCTAGTTTAAGTCTACCAGCCTTAAAGATAAGTCACTTTAACATCTTTCTTCTGCCCTCTAATATAAACGTACATTTAGTCTAGGTATATTAGGTCTGATCAGCAATGACAGCTTTTTTTTTTTTTTTACCCTACACATTTAAATTTATAATCTTAGTTACATGTGAACCATTTTCAGTATATGAACCAGACTACAGTGCTTCCAGGAACTAATGTGACCTGATTTTCACACTAAAATCACACATTTCAATGTATCTAATTTTGATTTTGAAAAAAAGGGTGCCTCTTCATGAGTCAAAATCAAAAATATTTTCTTTCAAAATAGAAACCTGAAAACTGACATGCTTTTATTTTTTTACCCACTTTAACAATGATTTCCCATTATATTTTCTATATGTCTGAATATCACATGTTGAAGCATGCAGCCTAGGGAGCATGCTGAGGTAACAGCCAAAGAGAAGCAGCTTGAAAACAAGGCAGATGTTAAATACAGTAGACCCATTTAAGATCCCACCCTCCTCTAAGCCCCTCTCAGCAGCTCAAGAGTCATAAATGGAAAAGAAAAACCAGCATGATAGCAGCAGCATGATGCCGATTTAGGATAACACTAACTTATGATCTGGGAAGAGTACATTTAGCTAAATGGTGTATTTCCTCCTGATATCCATATACCCACACACTGCAGTGGCTTATAGTCCGAAATACACCACATAACTGGTTATAGCTGGTTAATCAGGGTGCAGGAGACTTTAGCATTTGATACATTAAGATCTTTGTGATGACGACTATTGTTATTACTCCTATATTATCATTATTATACTATTTGTTTTATTGGTGTTCCATTTTTTGTATAGTAGTTGTATTGTGTCTGTATTAGCTGAGCAGCATGTGATAGTGTATGATGCTTTAATAAATCATATCATTATAAATAATATTGCTATGGTTAATTCCTGCATGTGTAAAAACTGCAAAGGAGGCAGGAAAAGAGAGCTTGGTTATTTGTGTATTTAATGTGAAGCAGGAAACTCCACAAAGTAAGATGTTTCCACCAGGCAAAAAGAAAGTGTGAGAGAGTGAGAGAGTTCATACAGTCACATTCTTTCTGCAGACTGTGGTAAAGGTAAAGTTTTTGAATCAAATTATTACTTTACCAATAGCAGTAATTAAGAAAATTGTAATTTTATTGATATAGTCCTTTGGGAAAGAGTTTGCATTTGAATCTGCCTCATTCTGCCACGGTCCTGATCAAATTCTCCTACAAGCAAGTGAGGTCAGTCCCAAAGATTTTCTTCTCTTCCAACAGACCTGTCCTGTTTGATGTTTTTTTTGTGTCAAACCACATATCTCATTAGATATGCAGCTATTTAAAAGACAAGTTTTAGCTCTTAAAAATACTTAACTACAAAAACAAGTAAATATGTACTTTATTACTCATGAAAAAAAGAAAATACACTACCGTTCAAAAGTTTGGGGTCACATTTAAATGTCCTTATTTTTGAAGGAAAAGTACTGTACTTTTCAATGAAGATAACTTTAAACTAGTCATAACTTTAAAGAAATACACTCTATAAATTGCTAATGTGGTAAATGACTATTCTAGCTGCAAATGTCTGGTTTTTGTTGCAATATCTACATAAGTGTATAGAGGCCCATTTCCAGCAACTATCACTCCAGTGTTCTAATGGTACAATGTGTTTGCTCATTGGCTCAGAAGGCTAATTGATGATTAGGAAACCCTTGTGCAATCATGTTCACGGATCTGAAAACAGTTTAGCTCGTTACAGAAGCTACAAAACTGACCTTCCTTTGAGCAGATTGAGGTTCTGGAGCATCACATTTGTGGGGTCAATTAAACGCTCAAAATGGCCAGAAAAAGAGAACTTTCATCTGACACTCGTCTATTCTTGTTCTTAGAAATGAAGGCTATTACATGCAAGAAATTGCTAAGAAAGTGAAGATTTCCTACAATGGTGTGTACTACTCCCTTCAGCACAAGCAGGCTACTGCAGGTACTATTTAATGAAGATGCCAGTTGGGGACCTGTGAGGCATCTGTTTCTCAAACTAGAGACTCTAATGTACTTATCTTCTTGCTCAGTTGTGCAACGCGGCCTCCCACTTCTTTTTCTACTCTGGTCAGAGCCTGTTTGTGCTGTCTTCTGAAGGGAGTAGCCTTCTGAGCCAATGAGCAAACACATTGTACCATTAGAACACTGGAGTGATAGTTGCTGGAAATGGGCCTCTATACACCTATGTAGATATTGCACCAAAAACCAGACATTTGCAACTAGAATAGTCATTTACCACATTAGCAATGTATAGAGCGTATTTCTTTAAAGTTAAGACTAGTTTAAAGTTATCTTCATTGAAAAGTATAGTACTTTTCCTTCATAAATAAGGACATTTCAGTGTGACCCCAAACTTTTGAACGGTATTGTATATTCTGATGAAGGAGCAAATTTAGAACACCGTAAATTCTAACTACTATTTCTAGTGTTGCACCGATACTGATACCAGGCCTCGATACTGCACTAAAATGGTGGTATCGGTATTGGCGAGTACCAACAAATAGGGCACCGATACCATTTTCAGAGCCAAAAATATATTCAACTATTGTCACCCATTTCAGCTAGGGCCTAGCTGAAATAAAAATATAAAAATAAAAAAAGAAATTATTATTGCCTAGCTGCTAGGCAATAATAATTTCTCTTTTTATTTTTATATATTGTCCTGTCTGGCAATGTGGCAATAAGAATAATTGTCTTGATGCCAAAAAGAGCCCAACAGATTTTACTTTCACACCTGGAGCAGTACGGCTATCGCCATAGTGTTCCACTTCGTTTATGCATATATATTGCTTTACTATAAATCATGCAGGGAGTTTTACAGATTATATGGACACTGCAATGTAAGTTGAACAGGAAAGGAAAAACAGAAAAAAAGAAGAAAAAAAGAAAGAGGAGATAAAAAGGGGATAACGATAAAACATTTTCCATCTGCTTCATCACCTGCAAAGTGATGTAAAAAGAACAGCACAACCAACAGACATGGTATGAGACTTACAATAAGTGACACCTGGATACTATCGCTGAAATATAAGTAGTATTATTTAATTTGAGATGTATTCTGTGTTACCTGAACATAAGAATATTGGCTTTAATAATTTCTACTGGATTCACTTTGTATTAGTCTTTTTCCTGCTTCACAAAGGTAGGCAGCAGCTTGACAAAACCATGATGGCAATTATTTTACATCCAAGTAGTATGCAGTTCTTCATATATATACACACACATCAATTTCAAACAGATGGTATCGTTATGGTTTCGGTGTTGGCCAATACTGCACAGCCAGGTATCGGGTATCGCTATTGGGGCCAATAAGTGTCATCAGCGCAACACTAACTATTTCCATAAACCCATGAAATTTGTCTGACTTTTAGCTTAGATGTCTGAAAAGTTTCAGGTGACTTCACTTCTCAATGAGATCAAAGTCTGCTCTTTCACTCTATCCAGGACTTTACATGTTTCAGCTTTCAGACACTCCTTAATGGATTTTACCTTCAGAGACATGATAGATTTCATGGCAGAGCCTGCAGTGGTGAGCTGGTCCTCCATCAGAGAAGTCCCCAACAATGACACTTCCACCTCTTTGTTTCACAGTGTGTATCGAGATCTCTTGCCTGTATCATGTATTTTGTTAATGCCAAATACATTTGGCACAGTGATGCAGCCCTCTTTTCATACACACAGAAGGTGAAGGACGAGGAGCATTCTGTATTCAGAATCAACCTTAGATTCATTTGTCCAAAGAACATTATTCCACTTGTGCTGGTCTCTATTCTGTAATCCATGTTCTTCCCAGAAAGCAAATGTTTTCTCTTTGAACACGTTCCACGAAAGTTAAACTGGTGCAATCTTTGTTGGATTCTACAGGCATGCATGTTCATATCAACAGTAGGAAGGATTTTATTTTAGGTAGATTCCTTACCAGACTTACAAGTTGAAACAATCTTTGTTAAACTTCAAACCTTTATGCTCACTCTCAATTCGACTTTCATGAGCAGACTCAACTGGAAGTTAATGTTCAAACTAGGCAGACAACATTTCAACAAACAGAGTAGACAATTTTTGTACCTGTGGGTTATTTCAACCATTGGATTTATTTTACCGGATTTTTTAAAATTGTTTTTACTTTAAGGATGAACAGTATAGACACAAAATACAAAGAAATGTTATATTACTTGAATGAATTTTAGAAAAACATAGGTTTCAATGGATTTTCCTAGTTTCTTTCAGATTACTATATATATTAGTTATTGTAATAGATAAATTCAATGAATTAAATTTAAGTTTTAAGTCAAATAATTAAACCACAGTCTATCCAACTATATAGATGCCATATTATCGTATTATGCTTATCTTAAAAAAATAATCAAATAATGAAAGAAAAAAAGCTTTTATCAACTGCCTAAAAACTTTCCACTTCTCACATTACAGCCACAAACCTAAATGTAGCATGTAATTGTGGCAGTGAAGAAATATATATTTGCCATTTAAAATTAGTTTTAAGGGGATGATACATTTTATTTAGCCCCCTTAATTCTGACCTTCCTAAATGTCAAGGACTGATATTCTAGACCGGAGGTCTTCTACAGAGGTGCTGCATGGGGTCGCTAAAATTTTGGTTGATTAGACTTTCTTTTTAAATTCCCCCCTGACTTTTTTCCGCTAATTGAAATGTCTTTAAATACACATTAACATGAATTCATTCATCAATGCACACATTCAGCGACACACAGGAGCTCTTTAAAGCGGGGCACTGTTTCATTCACAACACCTGTCCCATCAAACAGGAATCAGAACCAGAAATACCTTAATAATCCCAGGGCGGAATTGCTTTCATTATATTACTCCATCTGTAATAGAGTGACTGCAGGACCAGTTTGATATAACCCAATTTCATACTATATATAATTAGGGGGTCCCTGCTCCATCTCGCCATCAGTTTTGGGGTCTTTGGCCTGGAAACCGTTGAAGACCCCTGTTCCAGGCCAAGGTGCAGAAGAATGCTCAAAAGCAGTGCATTGAATTTAATGAAGATAATGGAAAAAAAATACAGAAAAATAAAGGGTATGGAGACAAGAAAACCCAGTGACAATGATGGAGAAAACAGGTGCGGGCTATGAGGAGACACAGGAGAACAGAATCTACTTGACTGACGGCTCATAGAGAGGATTAACAGGGTCAGACAGGGAGGAACACAAGGAAAAAATTAAGAACACAGAATAATTAAGATAGGAAACTGTAGCAGGACTAAATGGGTACAGTAAAAAAAAAGAAAGCTTAAAAAAAAAAAGAAAACATATAACAGAATATGAACATAAAAAACAATAAGGAAACTCCTGAAAAAAAAAAACACAACATAAAAAATATAAACTATCACATACAGATCATGATATTAAATAGAATCCATTACAGCCACTTGCCTTAATCTTAGCATAAATCCTGCTGTTCTGTCCAGCTGTTCTCAGAGGTCCGTTAAAGAACATTAGAGAACAAACTGCCTCATGGAAAGTAAGTCATGACAAGGTCAGAGAGCAATTAATGGATAGGTTTCAGATGCTGTATTTTTTTAAACAAAAAAACAAGCTTTCAATGATCTCCTTATGTTTGATGTTGATTAACAGTTTCAGCAAGATCATTTGTCGTGAGGATTGCTGTGTCACTGATGTGGCTTATTGATTGTACTAGCAGAATTAGAGCAGGTGCCTCTCTGGGATTAATTTTCAGGGGATTAATTGTTGTCTTGCTCATTACTGATCTGTATGCAAACATTTGGGTTTTGGGGTGTGATCCTGATACAGACTCTTCCATGCACTGATGTGGTTACAAATGCTCACATGAGATTTTTCTGTTTGAAGAAAATAAAAATGGACATGGCCTTAAATCTCAACGTAGACCAGGAGGTTAGAGGTTGATGGAGTTAAAACTGCTGCTGTAATGACCTGCATGTGGCCATCAGAATAACATTTATTGTACGGCTTACAGCTGAGAAATACTAACTTTTTTTCTAGTCACTTGATTGCTGTCTTTCTCTATCTCTCTTTCTGTGCTTAACATAATTTGCTTAAAACCCCTTTAATCCTTCCAGATAATCTGTGAAATGGTTCTCGCCCCTCTCTCCTTTTCCCTTCCCCAACCCCTTGTGTCTACCTTTCCCGATCTCGTCCCCTCTGGAGGGGCTGGCCGTTAAGCCCCGCTGAAGCACTGGCATTAGCAGGTTCAGGGCTGAGGCTCCCGACATGCACTGCGTCATTAAAAGAAGTAGCACGCTACTAAATTAATCTCCATATCCATTTTTTAACCCAGAAACAAATGCTTTTACTTTGTTCCATGGGAATTACAATTCCAACATCAGCATGCTCTCTGTTCAGGGGTTAAAACCTAAAACATTTTTTCATGCTCAGTATCCACCCACGATAAATGTAGAACGCCTTCATTTAGAATTTTTCTGTGAGTAAGTGGTGCATCATCCTCTGACATGGTTCATTGCATCTTCTTGTCATTTCTTTTCACCTTTTTCTTCCCATATTGGCCTAATAATCAGTGCTGCTCACATTTTCCACTTGACCTGACCCTTTCATCACAGCTGACCCAACTGTGTGTCTCAGATCCCTCAGATCAGCTATGCCTCCACTGCTCCGGAGCTGAGCGACAACAGCCGCTATGAGTTCTTCTCCCGTGTGGTCCCCCCAGACTCCTACCAGGCCCAGGCCATGCTGGACATCGTCAAGGCCATGGGATGGAACTACGTCTCCACGCTGGCCTCTGAAGGGAACTACGGAGAGAGCGGCGTGGACGCCTTCCTTCAGATATCCAGAGAAGCAGGTTGAATTTCAAGCCCGGATGATTGTAAATTTGCTTCTGTGACAATCAGGGATTACCCACCAAGCTGTGCTGCTCTCGCTTATTAAAAGACTAAAATCGGAAAGAGCAATCCTTTAATACTCAATGACAAACAATTGTAACTCATCCTATAGGTCTGAAAGCACAAATACTGTTACTATTCTTTCGTTTCAATACCATTAAAAGTCATGCATTAGTGACAACAAAGGGCAGCTGTCACATCACCACTTTGATGTTTTTGCAGCACTTTTGATAAACAAGCTGTGGGTAAAGATCTTAAAAAGCTAAACATTCATAATCCCGAAAAACATTAGAGAAAATCTAACCTTATATTAAAGTCAAGTTCTTCCGTTGAAAAAACATTTTTTTATAATAGTTTTAATTGGCATTATTGTTGGCACCACGAATACAGGCTTTTTAAAACAAATGCAAACAAATAGGTTTTAAGTTTATTTTTCCATGCTTTGAAGTTGGTTATTCTGACTATTAGTCAATAACTCTCTGTTAACCATTAAGGGTGTAAAAAAGGCTGAATGTTATAAATCTGTTGCAAAGAATGGCATTGTAAGGTTGACTAGGGTCCAAAACAGCATTAGTCTCTGCCCAAAGTCCTAGGAACCATAATAAAGTGTGTGGCATTATGGACCTTTTGTAACCTTTTGTTACACCAATTGGGGCTCTGAGTTCCTAACATGGATAATTTTTTGTAAGGATTTACAATCTCTGGCTAAATCAGTAGACATGGTTTGTATGACTCATTGATCTATTGCAGAAAACTGCAGATAGATGAAGAAGAGGAGAAAGATCTGGAGAGATGAACCAGAGTAACAATGAGAAAAAGAGATATTGTCATCATGCCAGGAAAAGAGGTTTATGCAAAATTTTGATGGTAGAGAAACCAAAAGCTTTGCCACTGCTAAAAATAAAATGTTTCTCTAAGTTTTGAGTATTCCTGATTTGTGTTACACTATCTAACTGTAATGATGGATACATTTTTTTGTTTTGTTTTGTTCACATGTCTTTATGAAGGGGCAGCAAAAGATTTACTTAAAAACCTGTTTTGATTAGTTGGTAGGTAAATCTGGAGCAGACAGTCATTCTTTCCGGTCAGGGAATTGGAATGAGTCAGATGATAACCCAGATACAGAGTTAAAATCTAAATAGTTTTTGTTTTACACAAAAGGCGACCTGCCACATTAACATCTTTAACACTGTGCTAGCTAAACGGTGGCATGTTAGCAGAAGTCTCAGAGCCCCTTGCACTCTTTAATCTTTCATCACTAACAGCAATAACCTATTATGCCTCACTTACTGCAAAAACACAAAGTCACGCAAGTTACTCTGTGAGGCTGTTGTCAGAAGCATCTTGATGCAACACGATGCATGTACTGAGTTTTATTAATGACGTTGTTTACATTTGAAAAGTTCTGATTATCCAGGGCACCAACTAAAACACTATCAAACAACTATCAAAATGTAACTATATATTGTAGAAATATTTTAAAATTAGAAATCCAGTGCAACCATTGCCTTTAAAAACACTTAATTACAGCTCAGTTGTGTGTAATTAGCCTCGGTATACTGAAAGTACAGTCATTCTGAAAAGGCCTCAGAGGTTGGTTCATTGCATGGTAGGGACACAACATACATGTGGAACAAGGTACTTTGGTCAAAGAAGTAATCAAGAAGTCCTTTTTTTAGACTATGTTATACAAAATATTACCACTGCTGTTACCATTACACTTATTTTCTACAATTAATGTTGCTGATAGATACTGTTGGAAATGGTTTTTATTAGCAGTTGCATGGTTTTGAGTGAAAATTTAGCAAAATAAAGGGAAATAAATAACAACATAATAGAGGCTCAAAAAGAAATAAAGGGGGGGTTAAAGTTCCTCCTTATTTAGTACAATTGCATCAAACATACAGCAGAAGCTACAATGGATAGATTTATTTCAAAGCATCATCATGCGTTGGAATGGTTGAGATCAGGTTTGACTGTATTTGCCAAATGTGTATCCTGCACAAGGAATATGGAGTGTAATATATGAAGTGTAATAAAAACAGGAAATAATGAAGGATCTACTAAAAATAATATAAGGTAGAGTAAAAGGTGATTCTAAAATAGGGGCCCCCGACCTTTTTAAAGCTTAGAGTTACTTCATTTGAAATATCTATAAATGCTTTAAATGATTAATATGATGAAATGTTATATAAATTATTTAAAAAAAGAAGAGCAACAGAATAAAACAAAACTTTAAAACTTAGCCCACTGGTTAGTAGTTCTGTTTTCAGAAGACACTGAGAGCACCTATTTGGTCCTTTAGGGCCCCTTTGTGCCTGTGAGCGCCTTGTTGCTGAACTCTGACTTCAAAAGTAGAACCTCTTATAGGCCAAAAATATGAATGTGTATCAAAATGATCAGGTTGTATCTGAAGAAGTGATCGATTCCATCAAATGATTTATCTCTGCTCTCATTTTTGGAAGAAATCCTCCATAGAAAACAAAGGAAGGTTTTAACAAACTGTCAAAAAGTTCAAGCTGTTTCAGTTTTGCAGTTTTAGAGTATTTGCAGATATGCAGTATTCTAATGGTGATTTTTCCCATGAAAGGTTTAATTTCACAATCTTTTCCTGCTTGACTTATGAAAAAAAAATCTCCTTGTTAGAACCTAGAAACATGAAGGTGACGCATCAGGCCCCAACCTGCTGAAATTTAAGATTATATGAGAAATAAAGTCACTAAAGGCTTTCAACTTTAAACAGATTTATAAGAAACAATTTCTGAAGTTTTGGCTCTAGCAAAGTCCACTGAGCGCCAATCCTACGAATGGAAAAATCAATGTACTGCAGTGAATTTACTCAGAAGCCACTTACTAAAATTATTCCAAGACTGCATCCACAACTCATTCGGAAGTTCACAGAAGAACCCAGAACAATATCTAAAGCAACGAGGGCCTCACTTCCCGCTGCTATAATAATGGTCCATAATTAGACATTAAATATGACATAAAAAATGAGGAGGGGGAAATACCTTTATTCAGCACATAAAGTCCCACCAGCATTTGTTATTTGTGTTTTGCAGGGGGCATATGCATTGCTCAGTCTATAAAGATCCCAAGAGAGCCCAGGCGAGGCGAGTTTGACAAAATCATAAAGAGATTAATGGAGACTTCTAACGCTCGTGGAGTTATCATCTTTGCTAATGAGGATGATATCAAGTGAGTCGAGCTCTGCAGCTTGCTATGATCTGGATATTAAAGATGATGAAACATCAAAAGGAATCTTTTTTGTCTTTCAGACGCGTGTTACAAGCTGCAAAAAAGGCAAACCTGACAGGCCAATTCCTTTTTGTTGGATCTGACAGTTGGGGGGCCAAAAGCTCCCCTATCGAAGATCAGGAGGAGGTGGCAGAGGGAGCGGTCACTATCCTGCCGAAAAGAGGCTCTATTGACGGTAGGAGAATGTATCAAATCTGATTAATGCATGTTGGATTGCTGGGTGCAGTAGAAACACCTTCAAAGGGATGTTAGTCATGATGTTGATAGATGAGTCTAATAATAATGCAATAAAGAGTTCATGAATGATTGATAAGTCTGATCTGATATTTCTGTCCTATTTAAATTGAAGAAATCAGAATCCCACAGAAACTGCCTTTTAAAGATGGATTTAGACCACTAGTGTATAAGCCCCTTTAGACATTAAGAAATGTCTTACATCCTCCCATAACTCAAACTGAATAAAACTGATTGCAAAATGTTAACTGATGCAGGATTCGACCAGTACTTCACTTCAAGGTCTCTGGAAAACAACAGAAGAAACATCTGGTTTGCAGAATTCTGGGAGGATGACTTCAAGTGCAAACTGACTCGACCTGGCATAAAATATGACCCTGACAGAAGAAAATGTACCGGTGAGGAGACCATTAATTTAATCTGCAGACAACTCATAAGCCATGACTGTTTGAACTCATCTGACTGCCTGTCTGTTTCTGCTAGGAGAAGAACGAATCAGTCAGGACTCTCAGTATGAACAGGAGGGCAAGGTGCAGTTTGTCATTGACGCAGTGTACGCCATGGCCCACGCGTTGCACAGCATGCACATGGACCTCTGTCCTGGCTCCATGGGTGTCTGTGAAAAGATGGACCCGGTAGAAGGACGGATGCTCCTCCAGTACATTCGCTCAGTAAACTTTAATGGTGAGTTTTCAGCTGTCAGTCTGATTTTTCACATTTTCTGTGTCACGTTTACAAAATAGGACTTTAGGCGAACTGGAAGAAAATTGTTGAGATTTATTCTGGCAAAGGCCATTCTGAAAAAGTTAATTTAAAGGAGAGAATGTCAGAAGGGAGGTCATCTTCAATGCGCAAGCTTTGAGATGCTTCTGCTTATGTTTCAAACTGCAGTACACAACACAGTGCTTCAAAGCGTGTCCCCTCCCTTGGGCTACCTCCTCGGTCTTTTCTGTGCATAACACTCCTGCTTTTCATCCTGCATCTTTTATAGAAGAAGAGTAGCAGTTTGGAAAGAGGGGGATAGAAAGTTTTCTATGAAAGCATCCTGTTTACTGCTCTCCTGTTCATGGGCGACCTTGGCTTGTATGGAAGATTTTCTGATTGAACGCCTGCAGGGACCTTAGAGGAGCATTCAATTATGTTAGGGCAAGAGAGCAGAGTGCACTGAAAGACCGCAGGAGGAAAACTAAAAGGAGGAGAGCTTTTACTAAAGAGCATCCAACACTAAGCTTCTAAACTTTACATACACTATATTGCCAAAAGTATTTGCTCACCTGCCTTGACTCACATATGAGCTTAAGTGACATCCCGTTCCTAATCCATAGGGTTCAATATGACGTCGGTCCACCCTTTGCAGCTAGAACAGCTTCAACTCTTCTGGGAAGGCTGTCCACAAGGTTTAGGAGTGTGTTTATGGGAATTTTTGACCATTCTTCCAGAAGCGCATTTGTGAGGTTGCACACTGATGTTGGACGAGAAGGCCTGGCTCTCAGTCTCCGCTCTAATTCATCCCAAAGGTGTTCTATCGGGTTGAGGTCAGGACTCTGTGCAGGCCAGTCAAGTTCATCCACACCAGACTCTGTCATCCATGTCTTTATGGACCTTGCTTTGTGCACTGGTGCACAGTCATGTTGGAAGAGGAAGGGGCCAGCTCCAAACTGTTCCCACAAAGTTGGGAGCATGGAATTGTCCAAAATGTCTTGGGATGCTGAAGCATTCAGAGTTCCTTTCACTGGAACTAAGGGGCCAAGCCCAGCTCCTGAAAAACAACCCCACACCATAATCCCCCCTCCAACAAACTTTACACTTGGCACAATGCAGTCAGACAAGTACCGTTCTCCTGGCAACCGCCAAACCCAGACCCGTCCATCAGATTGCCAGATGGAGAAGCGCGATTCGTCACTCCAGAGAACGCGTCTCCACTGCTCTAGAGTCCAGTGGCGGCGTGCTTTACACCACCGCATCCGACGCTTTGCATTGCACTTGGTGATGTATGGCTTGGATGCAGCTGCTCGACCATGGAAACCCATTCCATGAAGCTCTCTGCGCACTGTTCTTGAGCTAATCTGAAGGCCACATGAAGTTTGGAGGTCTGTAGTGATTGACTCTGCAGAAAGTTGGCGACCTCTTCGCACTATGCGCGTCAGCATCCGCTGACCCCGCTCCGTCAGTTTACGTGGCCTACCACTTCGTGGCTGAGTTGCTGTCGTTCCCAAACACTTCCATTTTCTTATAATACAGCTGACAGTTGACTGTGGAATATTTAGGAGCGAGGAAATTTCACGACTGGATTTGTTGCACAGGTGGCATCCTATCACAGTTCCACGCTGGAATTCACTGAGCTCCTGAGAGCGACCCATTCTTTCACAAATGTTTGTAAAAACAGTCTGCATGCCTAGGTGCTTGAATTTATACACCTGTGGCCATGGAAGTGATTGGAACACCTGATTCCAATAATTTGGATGGGTGAGCAAATACTTTTGGCAATATAGTGTAGCTGAAGTAAGAAATATCTTTTTTTAACAGTGTGGGATTTTCTTTTGGCATCAATTTTACTATCATTCTTTGAGAATTTCTATCAAATTCTCAATTTTCTATCTTCTTAAAATGTTTGCTTTCAAACAACAGGCAGTGCTGGAACTGCAGTGATGTTCAATGAGAATGGAGACGCTCCTGGTCGGTACGATATCTTCCAGTACCAAATGTCCAATGTCAGCAACCCAGGCTACAGGGTTATCGGCCAGTGGACTAACCACCTGCGACTTAATGTAAATATCTGCACGTCTCAAACTTGCTTAAGAACATTTGTGCTTTTTAAAAAAAAATCTTGCTTTAGTCTATGATGACGCTAAAAGTGACTAAAAATATGATTGTGTTTTTATTTTCTCACTTAAAGGCTGAAAAATATTTTATTTTTGTGCAAAACTTGAAAAATAATGAAGTACTGCACCTGTCACTAAGGATTTATAAAACTAACTTTTTAAACATCCGAGGTAAATTTGCATCATGCTAGAGCTGTGCTCCATTTTTACTTAGAATAAGAAATGTCTAAGTAAAAAAAACAAAGAGAAGTGAGTTCAACTGAGAAAAAATGCAATCCACAATGCAAGACTTTTTGAAAGATTTAGATCGTAGGACTTTCTGATTTCCAACATTTTCCAAGGGGAAAGAAATCATCCACAACAAAGACCAGGTGGGAAATTCAGGGGTTTCTCACAAACCTAACTACAAACTTAATATCTATGTTTTCCTTTAAAAAAAAAATTGCGATATCTGAATTCATAAACTGTTTTATTAAGACTAAATTGAATATATTTTAGAAAGCAAAATATTCCTCTCTCTAAAGTCATAGGTCTAATTCAGAAAGTCAGAGGATTTAAACCAAAACCCAGATTTAATATCCAATATGGCTTCTGAGCTTGAAAAACAGCAAAAGCTGCATTAGCAAACAAACTGTATCTCTCTGTCATGATGTGTGATTTTTCATGGTACCCTTGGTGAAAATATTACTGCTTTAAAAGTATAATATGATAATTAACCTTTAGTGAAAAATAGAGCAGGGGAAGTTGTTGATGTTGCTGAAATGTTACCTCTTGATAAAGGTTGTAATGTTTTCTTTAACATGTATTCTTTGTTTTATCTCCAAATGACATACCAGACAGTTTCTCTTCCTAAACTATCTTAAAAAGGATGACTAAATTTCACTTTACTGACCAGTTGTTAGATAAATAAGATGCTAAAAAAGGAGGACTAAGCAAAATATAAAACAAGCTGTTATTTATAGGTAAACACAAGTCGCATAAATCAGTAATATCAGATTATCTGATGAATCAGTTTCATCTGCAGCAATATGTGGGGGAGGGGGAGGGGGAGCTTGAATATGATAGTAACTTGTGAAAACTAAGAGTAATGCTAGTTTTCTTTAGCATCTTATTAAAAGATCTTTAATTGTGAGAAAAATGTAAATTTTAGTTTTTATAATCCCAGATTATTGTGATGACTTTTGAGTCAAATTAAAGTTAGAGAAAGAGTAAAGAGAAAAACATCAGCTTTAGTTACTTCCTAAGGCAGCAAACAAGTAACATTCAAATATAAAGAGGCATTTCCCACCTTGAAAATGTGTTTCAGTCAGATGTTTTGCAGCAATTCTGTTGGTTAAATACTAGAAGCTAAACTAACCATTGAGTCCAGCATGGTTGAACTTTATAGAATTCCAGAATTTCTGTTTAGCTGCGTTAAATTTATCAAGAAATATTTATTTTTATGATTATTGTTGTAATAACAGGCATTGAGACTGTGAGTACTCATGAGTATGTGTTTGTCTATCTGCTGTAGCTGGAGGAGATGCAGTGGTCAGGAGGTGAGCGTAAAATCCCAGAGTCTGTATGCAGCTTTCCCTGTGAATCTGGTGAGAGGAAGAAGATGGTAAAAGGTGTCCCATGCTGCTGGCACTGCGAGCTCTGTGACGGCTACCAGTTTCTGCTTGATGAGTTCACCTGTGACATGTGCCCCTTTGACATGAGGCCCCTAAAGAACCGGACAGGATGTCGGCCCACACCCATTATCAAGCTGGAGTGGAGCTCTCCGTGGGCCATCATTCCCGTTTTCTTGGCCATACTGGGAATACTAGCCACTACTGGGGTCATCGCTACCTTCATCAGATACAACGACACACCCATTGTTCGGGCATCTGGCAGAGAGCTCAGCTATGTATTGCTGACGGGCATCTTTCTCATCTACCTCATCACGTTCCTCATGATTGCAGAGCCCAGTGTGGGTGTGTGCGCCATACGCAGGCTGTTGCTGGGTCTTGGGATGTGCATCAGCTATTCCGCCATGCTCACCAAGACCAACAGGATCTACCGCATATTTGAACAGGGCAAGAGATCGGTCACACCTCCTAAATTTATCAGCCCCACCTCTCAGCTGATTATCACCTTTATTCTAATTTCAGTGCAGGTACACCTACAAATGTTTTTTGTTAAATGTATCAGTCTAAGACTGCAGCAGTTTAATGCTTATCTCTCTCCACAGTTACTGGGGGTGTTCATTTGGTTTGGTGTGGTACCACCCCACGTTACCATTGACTATGAGGAGCTAAAGCCTCCAAATCCAGAGTTTGCACGTGGGATCCTAAAGTGTGATATGTCCGATCTATCCCTCATACTGTGTCTCAGCTACAGTATTGTACTAATGATTACCTGCACAGTATATGCTATAAAGAGCAGAGGAGTCCCTGAGACCTTCAATGAGGCAAAACCCATTGGTTTCACCATGTACACCACATGCATCATCTGGCTGGCCTTTGTTCCTATCTTCTTTGGAACAGCACAGTCTACAGAGAAGGTAGGAAACCCAGCAGTTTAATAAATGAGTTCTATTTACTGCTATTCAATATTTCAAATATAAGGGAACAATTTACTGAGGGCTTTTTAATGATGAAAACTTCAAATTTATATTTATTCTTAAGATTAACACATTCACAGGGACTGCATTTAAAACATATATAGGAAAAAATACTTCACAGTAATTAAAAATAGCACACTTTGTTGGGTGATATTAAAAATTTACAAAAACTTGGATTTATATGAAACAACAACTAATATTGCAAATATTGCATACAACATTATTCTAGAACTGCACCGCTTAAGGTGGCTACATTTTAGAGTAGCTCTTTTAGCCTGATTCAATTTAAGATAAAAAAAACTGTAATAATACTTTTTTTCATCTATATTCTATTCACATAAAGTCTTTTTTTTAATAGCAAAACCTAACAGAGTATTAGGTTGGCCAAAGGGCAGCATACACACAAATAGATACAGTAGACAAGAAACAACTTATTATTTTAAGTTAAAAAGCTAGAATATTTTAAATATAAGAATCTTAAAGTACCCAAAGTAAAAAGCTTTTTTGAATAAATGTGTCTTAAGTTTGGCTTTTAACAGATGCATATGAGGGATGGAGTATAACTCATAGAAAAACTGTTCTGCAAAGTTGGACCAACCACTGGTTTATAATATACTCTTAATATTAAAAGCATTCTGATGGAATTTTAGCAAGAGGATTTTAATCTAAAACATAATTGATGAATAGATGTATTAACTATACATGTAAACAGACTTTTATGGGGGCCCTAGGCAACTGCCTAGTTAACCCCCAAAAGCTATGGAGAAGAGGCAGAACAGGCTATACTTCTTGAGGATTTTTAGATCATTCAGTGTACAGAGCAAGATGCTACATATCTTCTTTACGATGGGTGGGCTGAATGGTATTTGGAAAACATGCTACATAAAATATTGCTTGTAAATCTTACAGTCTTTAATCCAACACCTTATATGAGGTATGACCAAAGCCAGTCCATAAGGGCTGGTGTCCAGCATGTTTTAGATGTTTTCCTGCTTCAGCAAATTTTTTTTTAGATTGAAATAATTACACCACTGCTAATTATGCAGGATACTGGCAAACATTGCATTTAGCTAAAGAAAATAATTTACATGTTTTTTTTATGTGTTTATCAGAATATTTTACAGACTTGTGACATAAGATGGTGCATTTAACCATAGATAATTATAGCACTATCATGTACAATTCAAGCAATTCTTTGTGATATTATTAGGTATAGTAATATTGTGAAAAAATGAATAAATATTGAGCAGCTATGTGAGGGGACTCGGCAAGCATGTGGAAAAGGTACTCTGATCAGCGGAGACCTAAACTATTTTTTTGGCTACATTAAAAGCAAAATGAGAACACTAGCATTAACACATCACCCTGAATAATCCATTTACACCTGTAAAACGATGGTGGCAGCAACATGCTGTAGGCATACGACAGGTACACTGATAAGAGTTGTTTAAAAGAGGAATGGAGCTAAATGCATCATGATGCAATATCCTGTATCATGAAAAATGGTAAATTTAAAGGGTTTTGAACATTCCTGCAAAGCACTGTAGAAAAAAAAACATATACAAGGCTGACTCCCCCTAAAGAGGCAGATTTCTTAGAGCACCAAAGCTGTTTGGAATGAATATATATTATTTAATGAGGTTTATGAGCGGCTTAAAGAATGGGTGCAGAAAGTAATGATACTTAAGATAATTGAATGGCTGAGTTACCCATGCATTCTACTTCTCAATCCGTCATTTTTTAAGCCACATAAATGCATTGAATGTGACAGTGAATCAAATCTTGCAACACATAAAGAAGCACACTCATAGTTGGAAAGTGACCAAAAAGCAACCCTCAGAAGTGAAATCTCGGTTTGCTGCCTGTCATATCGTATTTGCGTCACACTGCCCTCGCCGAACATCCTGCTGCCACTGTACTTAGGGCTTAAATTAGCTTTTGGGCTATTTTCTGTCGCCACAAAGCACATATCTGTTGGAGGGATATCTAAAAAATACAGACAGGCTTTGACTAATAGAGAGCTGCATTATAACTCACTCAAGCTGAAACAATTATAGCCTAGGGGGTACTTTTAAAGTCTTTTCACCTCTTCCAACTGGAAATGAAGTAAATGAAGACATAAGAAGGACGGATGAACTGCAGAGTGATCTGGACTGCTTGCAGACCTATTTTATGTTACTGTTCAATTAATCATCACTTTGGGAATAGCTAGACTTTATCTTCTTCAAATGTCATTTAGCAACCAATACATGCAGAAGAATCAACCTGCCTGTCTGAAACATGGCAGCACACATGGCTGTTGGACATAGCCCCTTCATTGTGATACCAAATAACTGCAAACCCATCCAAGAGAAAAGTGGAAATCAAAAAGACATGGGGGAAAATAAAAATAAAAAGTAAAAGATGGCAGAATAAAGTGGTATAACACCAGCTCATAAGGGGAAGGATGATGGTTTGTGACTTATTTATGGCATACATGTCTTATTCATCCAACATACACTTTGCATATTTTTGCCCAAATAGTTTTTTTTTTTACTTTACATGTTTTTAGAAAAGGATTTGAAGAAATGATGTTTCTGATTTATTTTGCTTAATTTTTTCAGAGAGGGAGTAGCTAAACATTGACATGTTGTGAAAAACCCCAAAATAGAACATCTTCTCTGGACTACATATAAAGGGACATAAATAATTTATCAAAGGACAAGCCACAGACTCTCTGCTATAAAATGAAGTCCTCTTTCTTAGACTAAATTAAAGCCTGTTTTTTTTTCCCTCATTGACTGGAGTCAGCTTCCTTCGTGTTTTTCTCACGTTTAGTGTCTCCATTACAGATGTTCATCCAAACCACCACTCTGACTGTCTCCATGAGCCTGAGCGCCACCGTATCCCTGGGTATGCTCTACATCCCCAAGGTCTACGTCATCATCTTCCATCCAGAGCAGAATGTCCAGAAGAGAAAACGCAGCTTCAAAGCTGTGGTGCAGGCAGCCACCGTGTCCACTCGCCTGTCCCAGAAGATCAGCGACAAGCAGAACGGAGAGTCCAAGATGGAGCCGGACAGGTGTCAGTGACAGGAGGCGGAAGTTCTTGTGGAAAAATTGGCATTTACTGTTTTTGACAGAAGCATTTGTTTCTACCTTTCAATTATGGATGAATACCAGCCACTGTGGAGGTGCAATATGTTCCTTTTGACAGTTGTTTATAGACACTTTACTCAACATGAAATGATGCATGAAAGCAAAGAAATTTATTAAACACACCTTCACAAAAATTTTTATAATTCGGTGCCAGCTTAAATCAAATGTAAAAACTTTTATGTCCTTTTTACCATCCAGTTCCAGTCTAAGTTTACGCAAACTCTTCATTGGTCATGGATAATCTGGGGTTTTTATTCTTGAGTACTTTTTCCTGGGGTTTAACGATTATGCAATAAATTTAGCACACACCTACTGTATGCAAAAATTTGGGGCATAGATAATGGTTTTTATTTAATACATATGGGGAATATGTACCTACACATCCACTAATGATCAATACTAGACTGCAGAGAAACTACAAATGTTTATAATTAAAAAAACAAACAAACAACTTCCTGGCCTTATTCTACCTTGGTATTTTACCACTCTTTTCAGAAATGTACCTTGCACTCATTCCTCAAGCTTATTGTTGGCCTGCTTCATCTATTTTAAAACCAATTTTAATCCGTTTTGGGATCAGGATTCTTTCAGAAGGTTGAAATTAGCTTAGTATTTCTCCTTTTGTCTCTAATAGCAGTTTTAAAATTAACTTTACAAAATGTACTTGAAGGAATGGATTTGGGAGAAGGGTCCTTTTTATAGTCATAACCCTCTCAGTTAATATTTGTTTTTGCAACTTTAAATGAGCTTTCCCAATTCTGTCAAACAGAGTGGTTGATTACCAAGCCACAATTATGCCAGAAGTTTGCTGATGGATACAAAAAGTCTGGGTTCTATTGCAGTTTTTCATGAATGAACCTAAACCATTTTGACCACGTTTTAAAAACAAAAGAACATTTCATTTTCAAAAATCATTGCAGTTTAATTTAGAGAATGACTCTAAAAGCCCTTACGAGTAATCAGTGTTATGGGGAGTTTTGATCAACTTCCCAGTGACTGTACCTCTTTCTCCTACAGGAAGACATGTTAGTGAAAGCCTTTGGGGCTGAAAAGCACAAAAGCCATATGGCTCCATAGACACTGCATGGATTATATGTTCTGTGTACATGAATGACTTTATTAGGGACAACTTTCTCCTCTCATTGCACTGGAGAGGGGGAGACCTAAAGAATATATTATGTTTGTATTGCTAGTCGGACAATAAAACCTACCCATAGCCAGGTGTTTGTACCACAATATTTGATTTATTTTTTATTTTTTACTAATGTAATGTTGACAACCCATTTTTTTAAGGGAGAGACGAAATTTAGGGGTAAAAAACAGGACATAGGTGATTATTAGCAGGATGTTTGTCATCTAGGTGGTGTTTTTACATTTCTATTCTGTAAGACGACGTTGGGCATTTCCCCATGTTGTTTGTGAAAATATGAAGAATTCTATGAAAAGGTCAAACTGTGTGGCAGCTCTCCAACACCAGGCTACTACCAGGTTTAGTTTTATGCTTTGAAAAGTCCTGCATCATGATGACATTTCTTTCTAGAAAATATTAAAAATATCATTAACATGACACCTAGCTGAATCAATAAGTATGATTATATTATCAAACACCGTAGACTTTTGAAATGATTCCTGTGTTACACCTTTTTTAACTGTTTGTCTCTTTAACCATGGTTGTCCAAAGGTGGTATGCGAAGGTAACTTCAGTAACTTTTTGCAAGATGCTTCATGAAACAATACAAACCATCTAAAGGGGTTTCTTTCAATGAGTTAAACACATGATCATTAAATAAGGTCAACCACATTCATGTCAAAAGGAAAAGTTTAAGCTGCCCCCTGCAGGAGAAAACAGCACAGCGCAAACATATATTAAAATAACAACCACTGAAGACAAACTTAAATAAAAATAGTTTAATTTTTGAGCTTGTTGATATTTAGCAGGAGAGATTTAGAAAACAAAATTACTCTAAATGGTCACCTTTCTATGACATGATACTCTGCAAATTAAAAAAAACAACGTTTGTGCACTTGCACACATATACACAAGAGGCTAATCAGAAACTTGCCAAGACAGACTGTGCCGAAAGTTATAGAAACACAAAAAGTATGAACATCAGGCTTACTGATTTCAGTAAAAAAAAAAAAAAGACAGCTCATGTCACTGTTCTTAAATACAAGATTAATTACAAAGTCCAGAGTGGAAGGATGGCTGTCTGGCTCATCCTCTGAACCACAACAGCATCAACAAGTTGTCTCCCGAATTTATTCCAGGAAGCTGTCCAGAGTCAGGCAGGTTGGATGTTTAGAGGGCGGCCGAGTCACCTTTTTCCTTTTAGTTTTGATCAGAGGGCGGATCTCAGCTAAAGGAGACTGATCAAAATGTTTGGTTAAGGAAAAATAACATAATGTGGATCAGACTTATTTCAGAAATCTTAAATATAGTTTAAGCAGAATGATACTTTAATCTCCTGTAAGTAATGGTTTAAATCTCCACTCTTTCTGATGGGTCGCTTCCTCTATATCAGGCATTTCCAAAGTCGGTCCTCGGGGGTCGTTGTCCTGCAGGTTTTAGAGGTCTCCCTGCTCCAGCGCAGCTGATTTTCATTAATAGTTGATTAACAGGCTTTTGCTGAACTGCAATCATCAGCATCAGCGGTACTAAAGCAGAGAAACCTCTAAAACTTTGGGGATGCCTGCTCTATATTGTCTCTACAAACTGATCCGGTTAACATCTAAAACTCATTGCTTTTAACCTCCCAGCTGGTTGAAATATTAGTTTCCTTTTTACAGAAATTATACAATTCCCATTATTCTGTAATACAATAGTGTTTAGTTTGTGACAATGACTAGATGTGAGCTACATACAGTATTTCAGCTGAATGTGAAATGCAAGGATTAGAGATAAACGAAACAAAACGAATGTAAATGCTGTATGTTCGCGAAAAGTCTTGAAAAGCAAAGCTTTAACATTTCCACCCTATTGTAAATTTATGAACAACAGTGACACGGCTAGAAAACCATCTGTTAAAGTTAGCCTAACCTATTCTGATGAAGGCTATAATGTACAGAGGTTTGTTACTGACTTTTAAGTGTCCTGTTTATTTGTAATTATTTAAAGGACATTTATCCAAACCTATGCAGATACTTAAGCCTGTATGTAAAGCTTTTATACATGCAGATCAGAGCATAATCACAATACATTCATACTCAACTGTAGCTTAATGTGTCCGTACAAAAACAAACAAAAAAACCTTCAATTGGCCTCATTGGTCGCATCAGATTCAAACGTTCTTAACTCAGTAAATTATCATAAAGGATCCTCCTAACTCTGATGCAGTTCACCTGTGTGTAAAGGAGCGTCAGTTCCTGAGAAATGCACATCTAAATAATCACCGCCCAGATAATTCCATATAAGGGTATGAAATCCCACGCCTGTGAATGGCATTGAAGATGAAGAAGAAAAGCTAAAGGTTCGCAGTCAAGTTCTGCAGACTGAAGGCTGAGAAGATGAATTAAAGGAGCAGTAAAAGCCAAGAAGAAGGAAATAAATTACAAAAGCAGGAAAATGACGTAGTTGCACCGTTACAGATAAAAAAAATAAAACGATATCAAAAGAAAAATCCTTTTATCCGAAAAGAGTACATGAAAACTACTGATGGAGAGAAGAGGAGCAACATATGATGTAAACTGTAAATATAAGTTTACCATCAACCAACGTGACACATCATTCTGCTAAATCTCCTTTTAATAAAAGCGAACTGTACTTCTCCAGACCTTGTTGGTCATCCCTTCATGCACTCTTCATCTTTCTCATACAACACATCGACATATATATAAAACTGACGACAAAACTAATTTGAAGATTTCAGACAGAAAATCAGACAGACCCAGACTGAAACGCTCCATATTTAATGTAAATAAAGCTAAGAAGCTGCGACTGAGTGAAATAGATGCAAACTGTCGCTTTGCTGAATTTGGATAACACCTGATTTGTTGTGCAAGGCTACTACACCAAGTCTTGAGCACTGAAGTAAAATGTGTTCTGCCTCAGAGATTAAAAATAGGAGAAAAATGTTGACTGCAACATTTTTCCCTGAATCAAGCGTAGGAACGATTTAAGAACAAATATTTTCTTACCAAGTTTTTGCATGAGGCCCAAAGATAAAAAAATAAAAAAAACTACTGACATCCATAGAGATAAGATGTATAAAGCACAGTAGTCCAAACAAACACAAACGGAAAAAAGGATACAGGTTGGATGAATTTAGTCCGTCCTCCTAATCCATCATATCCTGTTCTGACCTGGAGAGAAAACAACAACAATCAAGAGAAAAAGAAAAGAAGCTGTAGTTTAAAAGCCAACTGTGTTGTACGTACGACTCCAGCCTTTCTCTGAGGGTCCAACATGCTTCCAAAGGTCTTCTTTCTGAAGAGAAGGGAGTTCCTCAAAAAAGGATCCAGAGCTTCGTCCTGAGGCTGCGGTAATAAATTAATTCAGCACTGTGCGGATGGGTTAATAGAAAAACAGCTTAAAGAGACGACTGTAGGTTTACCTTGCTTAGGGAAGATGATTTCTCGCTGTGTTTCGAAACAGACGATCTAGAAATAAAACACTGCAAGTTATTAAAAACATGAAAATCTTTTCTAAGGTGTTCTTGATCGACTGATTCATCTTTTAAACACAGTGAATAAAGAGCATACCCTGGTTGTTCGAGGCGCATCTTCTTTGAAGGAACTTTGGTCGGTCTCTTGGAAATGTCGTCAGGAGTAGTGATGTCATAGGTCGCATCGAGATCGATGTCCTCTCCACGCGTCGGCTGGTGGAGGCGGGGAGGCTTCAGCTCCAGTGGGGCCGGGCTGCAGCGTGGGTAGAGAAAAGTCCCAGAGTAAATAGAAAGCTGCTTCAAAGCCAAGATGAGATTTAAACAGATCTGCAGAGGGACACACCTTTCAAAGACAAGCCTGCTGAGGGCTTCATTTGTGCGTGTTGGTGTGCTCAGAGTCTTCTGAAGAAACTCGACTTTTTTCTTGAGACTCTAAGGATAAAATGGGAGCAGAATTTATCCCAAATCCCTCAGATAAAACAAGTGTGAGTTTATAGTTTGATCTGTTCTTACAGAAATCTCTCTGTCGGCATTGGCCAGATCTCTCTGCAGAGACTTCATGTCCTCTCTGGTCTGATTCACCTCCAGGGAAGCCTTTTGCAGCTAGAATTACATAAATAAAATATTACCAACATCCAGGAAGTTGTATCCTTGGGTGCTTGATTTAAAGCTTTGGGTGTAAAGCTACCTTGTTGTTAGAGGAGAGAACTTCTCTCTTCAACTTCTCACACATGTCATTGGAAGATTTTAGGCTTCCTTTGAGATTATCATACTCTCTGCAAATAGAGGAGAGGGTGGTGAAAACAGGAGGAAGAAACTACTAAATAAAATTACAATTATCCCTCATTCTTCTATAAATTATTTACATACAGCCCGCAATACAGTTTCTGATTCATCACCAACATATTTTTCCCCATATGAATAAAAAAGACTGACCAAAAGCAAACAAAACCTGAAATGTAGTTTCTCACACAAAGCTGCAAATGTTGTGAAATAGAATGTGTAATTTAGCAAAAGTTCACAGAAGAGGTAATTTTTGCATCCAACAATCAGTTTATGCTGCAAAGGATGAACTGTCCAGTAGCAGAGAAATTATTTCACGCTTCTTCTACAACGTACAGAAAAGTCTGTCCATCCAATTCAGTGGTTCTCAAACTTATTTTTGCTTCCTTTTCATTTACATTTAGTAAATGATAAAATTGCAACATGCTAAATCTCCTTTAAATCACAAAACTGCACATGTTAAAGTTGATTATTTCAGTTTAACCAGGTATTAGTAAACCCCTCCCCCATTTTGGGAACCTCTCAGCTAATCCAAGGTTAATCTGCGTTCAAAATGTGCTTCCTAATCTCCAGGTGAGGTGTCTCAGTATTTAGAAGCCAAGCACTGTGAGGAAACTGAGGATACAGGATTTCCTACCACTACATGCTGCTCTAGACTGACAAAATCAAATCAAATTATTAATAAATAGTCATGAATTGATGAGTATAAAAAACAAAATCTGCTTTAAATCAAGAAGCCCTCCCCTCCATTCCAGGTAGGAGAACCCCGGTATAATCTGGTTTTAGAATATGATCAACCTAAAGACAGTCCATCCAGGTGCTTGTATGCTTAAATGCAAAATGTTCATAAGTTTTCTTTTTTACACTTTTGGTTTAATTCCTGCTCTGAGTGGGCAGCTCTGTTAATTAAAGATATCTATACTCCAATTACTACTAATCAATTACTAAGTTAGTTGATGATTATTTCAATAATAGATAAATCAAATTAATCCGATCAATCAGCCTATTTGCTATGTACTCCTCACCAACAGAAGGAGCTGAAAAATCATTTAAAATTGTCCAGACAAAAATGTAATTTTTTTTTCTTCTAACTAATATTCTTAAACCAATTTTCAGTCGTAACAGAAGACAAACAGTGGACTGCATATATAAATGAAGGTAGGATTATTGGAGGCCAGCTAGCGGTATCAGTTCCCTCAACCTCCAGGAGTTGCCTGCATATTCTTGTCACATGAAGTTGGCGAGAAACCAAGGACCAACTTCATCATCGAAGGGTCTTACAACTTTTCCAAGGATTTCCTCCTAATAGCAGTCAAGGAGCCATCATTCAGGCCTTTGAACCCCTTCAAAGATATGGCTAACTCAGGCCAACACTGACCCACCGCCACCCCAATCATGTTGAAGAACATTACAGTATAACTCAGCTTCTCCACTCTTATATCTGCCACGTGTACTCAAATTTAACCTGCTTTGATCTCTGAAATTCTCTGGTAAATCCCACTTTGGCTCCATTGGGCCAGGCAGTGAGCACAGGGTCACATAGAGAACAATGGACCCTGAGGCTTCCTTTACGACTTCTGCTTCTATAAAGTTTGGATCAGAGATATTCACACCAGCGACCTGGTTAGGGCCACTTTTTAAGGCTCTAGCAGCCTTCATCCTGTCCCTCCTTGCATAAAGGAGCAGATATTGGCACTGCTGAAAGGTTAAGGACCTCACACAGTCCTTTCTGGTTCTCTTAGGGTAAATGTCTGTCTCCTGGAATCCCATCAATGCTCTTGGGACTGTGTTGGGAGAAACAGTAAACAGTAAACCATCTGTAGAGTTAACACAAAGCCTATCTAATTCTTAAAAAGTTAATCAAAGAAAAATCATGACTCAAATACCACCCACAGAAAAATAACATCAGATGGAATCTTGAATGGCTAAAGAACATTTTTTTGCACCAATATTGACTTATGATCTCTGACCAAGCTTAATTTCCTCCAAAACACTGTAAAAAAAAAAAAAAAAAAAGAGGCTCCAGCTAAATCAGGGGGTTCTTACTTCTTTAGAGAGATGCAATAAATAGAGAGCTGCTCCACTGCTGCCTGGCTGACGCCCATATCTGTGATCATGGAATCAACTTCGTCTCGCTGACCGTGTAGCAACACATCCAGGCTGGAAAGACAACAGCAGAAATATTCACTCACAAGTCAACCTAAGTTGTTCATTTAAATGTATCATCAAGATAAACTAATTGTGTTTCTCTGACGTGTAAATACGGAACATGTAATTGTGGAAGATTACCCTTCAAAGGTTTTCATTTTAGTCCTCAGCCTGCGGACCTCCTCCTTCGCTGCCTGAACTTCATTCTGCTGCGTCTCCATATAAGCCATCTGTTTCTGTGAGATATTAAAATGTTACCTGATCCTCTAATAAAAATGGAGAGAATTTGTTGAAAACTATTAAAAAAAATAAAAGCCTCACTCTTAGGGCAATACAGATCATCTCCTTTTCCATGATCTCCTTCCGTATGTTGTCCAGGTCTCTCTTCTGCTTGTTGACGGTATCCTTTAAGCCGTCAATCACCTTCTGTTTTTCCCGCCAGTCTCGCTCTAGAAATTGATCAGACAGATGGTCAGCCGGCCATAGAAACTTATACATAAAGGCAGCACAGACAGATCTTTATTTTTTTTTTTGTTACCTTTAGAGCTTAACTGTGCCTTCATTCGGTCAAGCTCATTCTATGGGGAAACAAGATAAAAGATCTCAGCAGAAATAAGATGCTTAAATGTTACAAATATAAAATAAGAGAGTGCACAAGCTAGGCAGCAGAATTTATTTATTTATTGATCTGACTAGCAAATTTGTTCATATCCTGAAATTCTAATTATTCCCCATAATAAAAAACTGCATGCAAATTGATCCACTTAAATAAATTAAAATAAATTTAAGAAAATGATGCTTTTGACTGGAAATGTGTTACCTGCAAGCTCTCTGGGTCTGCAGACCCCGCTTCCTCCTCTCCTCCAATGTCAAAAAACAGCTTGCTGATGATGTGCCTGGTGCTGACCTTAAGGGTGTGCAAAATAATCGTCAAATCGATGAATCGTGATTCTAATTTTTGTGATCTACTGAATCGATTCTTGAAGGCAAGAATCGATTATAAAAAAAAAAAAAAATGAACAAATAAAATACATTAATGGTTGGCGCACATCAATCAAACCAAGTGGAATACAACTTCCAGTCCAGCAGATGTCGCTGCGGATGTGTTGACGCCTGCTGCTTTGTGTCATAAGCATGTCCGGACTGATTATCCTCATTTTGTTATTTTAAGTTTGATGAATCCTAAGATCTTTTTGTTGGTGTGTCCATGCCAGTAATAGTAATATTTCTGTCCAGTATTTGTTTTCATTGCAACACCTCCAAAAGTAATTTCAATAAATACAGCTATGTATGAATTCAGTTGCTTTCAGTTATGTATCAATTGAAGACACTATCCAGATCACACCCAGCCAGTCAGCCACTGGTAAGGGCTGTATCTTTTTCTTACAGTGTTCAGTGAAAATATCACAATGCATCGCAATATTTCAAGTATCGTGATGCATCGTGATAGAATCGCATCGTGGCATGTGAATCGTGATTCGAATCGAATCGTGACTTCTTTGCCAATACCCACCCCTAGCTGACCTACATACAAAGAAAAAAAAAGAAAAATCCCTTACTGTTATTTATTTATACAAAACAGTGGCAGGGTCAGATCAGGTTATATTTTTTGGTTTGCTGGTGTTTTGATGTAGCACCTGTTTCCTACACTGCGGGCAGGTTTTCGTAGGAGCAGTCTGAAACCACTGAAGAAGGCTGAGGGGGAAATATAGAGGTAGATCAAAATGTTAAAAAGAATCGAAGAATATTATTCCAGTTTGATAGTTAAAATTAACCTACCATTCATAATGAAAAGTGTGCCCACAGTGAATTGCTGCCACATCTCTAGCGTGATCGAAGAAATCCGAGCAGATTGTACAATATGCTCGGATAGGCATTTTCTTCTGCCAAATCAGCTAGGCCTATACGCGTTACAAAAGAAACCACATATATACATATGAAGAAGAAACGGCCTTTATATCGCACATTCAATCATTGTGTTTAACACTGAATATTTCAAATCTAAACGTCGTTGTTTAATGAAACTCAAGGAAAGCTAAAGTTAGCTAACAGTTACGCTATTTGGCTGTTAGCTGCATTACCGATCTTCATACTTACGAAACAAATACTTTAGGTTACAGCGCAGTCATTAGTAACAACTGCAAGCATTCCTAAATATATATATGTTTTTTTTTTTTTTTTACTTTTATTTTACCGGGTTAGCAACAACTCAAAGGCCAAAATATCAGGAGCTAGAGAGGCACAACACTTCCTCCATCTGTATCTCCGCGCGAGAGGTTCAAACTTAAGCCCCGCCCCCCAAACGGTGCGTTCACGGTGTTCCTTCTGCGTAGGTTTTATATGTTGAGGATTTTACAGTTATCCTGAAAAAATTATCTGCTGTGACACAAAACACTGAAACCAAGGGTTTAACTTTGCGATAAAAGTTGGTGGGGACGCTCTAAGGGTGGTGGCTGATGGACCTACAGCTACTCAACCTGAACGCTTTAAACACGGTTTATGTTTTCCAAAAATTATCTCAAACATATATTTATTGAATGCTTTCCTATTGTTGAGAACACAAGAGTACCACAGTACACTGATATTTAGTCATAGACAGATGCCTGCCTTTAGTGCATTATTTATAAAGGACTTAAAACAAACAATGACGAATAGCAGGCGATACCAACGCCAACAGCAATATATCATGCATCCCTAGTATGGACACAAATTTAATTCCATCAATCCATCCATTAAAATAACACTTTTTTTCATGATCGGACCTGACCAATCCCAATTTTTAAGTATTTAACGTTTTAAAATAATTTGTCTTTTTAGTTTATGCTGGGGTCTTTTTTTTTTTTTTTTAAGAATAGGAACTTCATTTCCCACAGTTCCCTCTTCCGACCGTATGCTGATGCTGACAGGCAGCAGAAGTGCTTTAGTTTAGTGCAGCTAGCTTGTGCAGCAGTTTCATGCGAGCGGTGGATAAACCGACTGAAACCTGACGGCAGCGGAGATGAAAGGTAAAAATATGGGAAGTGTTGATTTTGTAATATAAATATTAATGTTAGAACCTGAATTAGACCTAGCTGGCGTAAGATATGGAGTTAGCAGTTGTAGAAGCCTTTGAAGTTCTCCTTTAGGTTATACCTCTGTTGAAATAAACCATATGAGAGAACATTATCCCCCTGCAACACTATTTTTGGTTCCTCTGTCTAGTTTCAGTTCAATAAGTTGCCAGTTAGTTCTGAAGCCACTTTAGGCTTCAGAATAACGATTCAGCATTAAGAGGCTCCTGAGCGAACTTTGGACCCAACTGACGGTGTCCGTCATTGTCCTGCCAGGTGTGCGTCTCCCCCGGAAGTAGAAGCTATGGATGGAGAAACCGGAAAGGCGACCGCGTCCTGGGAAAGCGGTTTGCTGGCTCCTGTGGATCGGCTTCGCTTGGACAGGGCGGACAGCCCAACCCCGGGTCTGGTGGAGGGAACCGAGCCAGGTGACCATGTTGTCAGCAGTTACCATAAAAATGCAATTGGAGCGATTTATGTGTGTGTGTGTGTGTGTGTGTGTGTGTGTGTGTGTGTGTGTGTGTGTGATATCCACATTCCCTTTTTTCTTTCTTCTGTAGATTTCTCTTCTTTTCAGATATGGGGTATTAGGATTCAGTCTGCAGCGATTATTTTCTCAGCCTTTACAGTAGCAGCTCTTCTATGTTAAAAACTAACATCCCAACAGCATGATGCTGCCATCACCATGTTTTACCATGGGGACCTAAACTAAGCTGTTTTTTTAAGCCACAGAGAACCTTTTTTTTTATTATCAAGATGTTCCATTAGAAGGAATAGTACACCCATGATTAGCCTTCATTTTCTACTCACCCCCATGCTGAACAACACTCTGGAGTACTTTTTTGATATCTCAAATGCATCTGGAGATCAGGCGCGCGCTTTCAGGAAATCCTATACACTACTGTTTATGCTCTAAAAACATTCTAAATGACTTCGTTTCGAGTAAATTCTGGATGCTACCCACTCAGGACACTTGGAATACATTGGACGAGCAGTATGGAGGAATATTGACACGTTTTTTGTGGACTTTTATGGACCTTTCTGTCTCGGGCGCCATAGACCTCCATTATTTGAATGTCAGCAGACAGCAAGATCTCCAGATGCATTTGAGATATCAAAAAAGTACTCCAGAGTGTTGTTCAGCATGGGGGTGAGTAGAAAATGAAGGCTAATCATGTTTTGGGTGTACTATTCCTTTAAAGGCAGATCTGTGGATGTTACCAGGTATAGATATCCTATGCACATATTTCAATATTTGAGCTCCTACTTTCTGCTAATTCTCCACAGATACTGTAATGCACAGCTCCCTCTGTGAGTACTGCTCGCTTTGGCCACCCTGTCAGTTAGGTGGGCAGCCTTGGGTGGGATACCATTAACAACATTTATTGGAAAATTGCTTGAGTAAGCTAGGGATGTGATTGGATGTCACATCTGACTCAGCGCTAAGCTAACGTTTCTCCTTGACCTGTCTGCTGAGTTCCTTGGCCTTTGTAATGCTGTTTGTTAATTGATGTGCTACTCCAAACCTCTGAAGCCTTCACAGAACCGCTGGATGCATACTGAGATAAAAGCTTTTATTACTAATTGTGGGAGCTCCTAATGCTCAGGGTTTTTTGGCTTGAAGGCGGATGAACATCAGTGCAAGGCTCATTAGGCACAAGGTGTGTTTCCATCAGCTTTTTCTAATGCACATTTTGATAAGTTTGATAGAAACGGCAAAATTCTAATAAACTCTTTAAAAGTTGCAAAAAAGTTGTTACCCTCACTTGAGTTGGTTTTTGGCTTTTGAGAAAAAAGGTTAGTGTTATAAACTTTTCAAATTGGATTGGACGTAGCGAGCATTTACTAACAATGACTGATCAGCTGTCCTGAAGCTGGCGTCTTCCTATTATGGGTATAAACATGGCTGGAAGTAGCATCACAATTACTAGCTGACACGTCATAAGAAAATTCCAGATCATGACACATTAATTACAACCTTTACCCCCATAACTGATCTGTGGTCTTTGCAGTGATTGGTTAATTCGCTTCAAGCCAATGGAATCACTGCAAATTCGCATTTCCTTTTTTCGGAATTTAAAAGTTTTCTCAAAATTCGAATTTCATTTAAACAGAAACGGCTAGATTTTGGTTTCGAAAAGTGTCTTCTCTTTCAGTTTTTATTTATTTTATTTTTTTCGGCAGCACAGATTTTTGAGATTTAAACACAAAACCTGAAAAGGTTTTATATGAAAATTGTGTGCAAACCAAAAACAAAAAACAATCCAACTTGCTAACAGTACAGCCTTGTAGAACATTACGAGTAAAAAGAAGTTGCGTATTAAAGTCTAATGTTTAATTCGTATAAACATCTGTCTCCTATAGTCTTAAAAACAAGCTGTAAGTCTGCGTTATGAAGAATGTTTGAAATTTCAAGAATAATCCGTTGTATGCATGGGTAGATTTTCATTGCACCAGCAGTATTTTCTCAAAGGCTCATATTAAGTGCGGTTGGCCTGTGAATTGGCATGAATGTGCACATTCTAGGCATGCAAAATAAAGCAGAACATCAGTCTTTAGCTCTGTTTCTTATAAAGACAGGGAGAAATGCAGAGTTGGGCTAGATTCAGAAGTGATCACATGTTTTCACAAGAGCAAACAGTAAGAGCACGATGCCAAGGGAGTTTAAATCCCTTTGAAAATGTCTAATGTTTACAAGCAGACTAAAGTGAAACCCACACCAAAAAGCAAGGAGGAAGAAGCAGCAACCGGTATCAGAACATGTAACTTCCAACGTTAGTGAAGAACCTGCTGCATTTGTGGGCGGCTGCAAGTGAAAATGTTGTGGGGCTGGATAAGAAAACCAGAATTCCAAACTTTGCTCTAATTCCTCCCAAAGATGTTCTATTAAGTTGAGATCAGAACCCTGAGTTGGCCGGTCACGTTTCTCAACATCATGCAGCCATGGGAGCGGCGTGAGCCATTACATTGACGAGGGAGGAATAAGCTTATATTTCCACCAGTTTACTACTGGTTTGGTAGTTTTGGCGCCCCCTCATGGTCCATCTCAGAACAGATATGGTAGGCACCAATGCTTTATAATTAATTCATTACCTCTTTCTCTCCTTTTCCATTTGCCATCCTAACTTCTCTTATTATGACTATTAATATTGAATATATATGCTAGTATGTACATTTTTCAATGTACATCAACAGATGTTCATCAATACATGTGCCTGTTGGACATTTGGGACAAAGTCTATGAAAACAAAAAAAAAAAAAAAATATCTAGGTATTCTTTTTAGTCCTTGCTGCCCAGCCCAAAAGGTTACCAACCTATCTTTCAAATTTTGGAAAGTTTTCACTTGGACATGAAAAATCTGGAATCTGATTGAGCTGCTGTGTTCATGGATCCCAGGGAGATGAGGTTTAGGATCGGGGGATGTTTTGACTAATGGACTGTTGGTGAACCACCATTATTAGTGTGCAGCTCTAAGTTCTTTTTGTGGTAATTATGTAGAAATGGCCTTTTAATGCTCTCCATTAAATGAGACAAAGAGTAATCTGTTGCATTTAGAATACCTAAAAACTGGACTGTCTTTGTTATACATTATGCTGTCTATCTTTGAACAAATATTGTTATTTATGTCATCTTTCGTCGATATAGGTGCTGGTCAGAAGAGTGCTATTTTTTACCATGCTCAATCCTATGAGGACCTGACTGCTGAGGCTGAGAAAGAAGCCCAGAGGGCCTCGGAACCACATGGTTCAGAGGGACACGATGGCGAGGAGTTCAGCACGTTGGTGGGAAAGAAATCCACTGAAGAGCGGCTCAACAGTGACACCTCATCTGAGAGCAGAGGTAAAGAGGAAGACGTATCCAGTGAGGCGTGGAGGAGTCACAAAAAACACGTGTTTGTGTTGAGCGAAGCCGGAAAGCCGATTTACACCCGCTATGGTACGGAGGAGGCTCTGTCCAGCACAATGGGGGTCATGATGGCTTTGGTGTCCTTCGTAGAGGCAGAGAAAAACATCATCCGTTCCATCCATGCTGGTAAGAGAATGCTTTAAAATTCTCTGGGCATGTCCTGTTCACGATGTTTCGGTTGCTAAACCTGACCTAAAGAATGTTGAAGAATCAATCATCTGTCAATAGAGTCCCAGCTCAGTGCTTCAGTTAGAAAAAAAAAAAAATCTTACATTAAGGCTCTGTTATTTTAAAGTTTA